CCATTCCGGGTGTCCGAACTCATTACCTTCGAAGTTAAGGTAGCCCTCACCCCCGAGACCATGTGTGACTAGTCGGATCATCTTGTGCAAGGCCATGCCTCGTTCGATGATGGGGGTGAACTCTGTCAGCACGGACATGTGTGTGTACATTTCTTTATCGCATAGCCACATCATGAGGGTTTTATCTCCAACAAGCCTTACCATGGAGTTAGTTAAATGATACTCGGATAGTATATATGGTGAATTTGTGGACTTACGCTTGATCATGGCTTTCTGCGTAGGCAATCGTTTTCTCGCCATGGCGTCTGTTTGTCAACGTGAAAGACAGGTTTCCTATATCCCACTCGTCGTCCGCCTTCTCTTTTAAGAGCTTGATATACATGTCTGGGACGGCCATGGCGAGGCGGTAGTCAAAGCCGACTCCGCCTAGCGAGTGTGGCAGACAGAGTGCCGGCATCCCAGAGACATCTTCCGCCACTGTGATACAGTTGGGATAGAGGTTATGGAGCATTTCGTTAGCAAGAGTCAGATACGTCACACCTTCTTCATCGACAGAAGAGCCAAAATACTCATGATACCCTCCAGAAAAGCCTCTGTGTTCCAATTAGACGAATAGAAACACTGAAAAGATCGGCTACTTACGTTCCAATTCCGTGATGGGTGTAAAGCATACTTGTGACTCCATCGAAGCGGAAACCATCAAATCCATACTCCTCCATCCAAAAGCGCAAGTTGCTCAGAAGGAAGCGCAGAACCTCATGATTACCATAGTTAAACAAGCGGCTGTCCCATAGCTCATGTCGACCCTTATCACCGCCGTGGAAGTATAGGTGATCTGTGCCGTCGAACATGTTCAATCCATCGAGCACGTTCTTCGACGCATGGCTGTGGACGACATCGAGGAGCACCACTAGGCCCATGCTGTGGGCTTTGTCGACGAGCTCCTTTAGGTCTTCAGGTGTACCATAGCGGCTGCTCGCTGCGAAGAAGTTATTGATTTGGTATCCGAAGCTGGCGTAGTAAGCGTGCTCCATGATGGCCATTAGTTGAATTGCATTGTACCCCAGATATTTAATCCGAGGGAGCATGTTAGAAGTGAATTCTTTGTAGGTTGCAACTTTAGTTTCTGGTGATGAAATACCCACATGTGCCTCATAAATTCGGAGACTCTCGGGCTTCTTAGGGCGGGGATGCTGGAACTTATATTGTTCTCCAGCTGGAGGATTCCAGAAGACGGACTCATATGTAGGTGATACACTGAGATCTTGCACCACACGCTTGATCCACGCTGGGATCCGATAGATTCGCTCTCCACTGGGGGTTACCATTGATATCTACACAACCGTAAGTGTTAGGAAGCGTATCGATAACTATGCACCTGAACAATGGGATCGATACCTTGATCTTACTATCATGGGGAATAGCTGGAGCACCGTTAACTGCTGGCACTGTAACCTCCCAGACGCCAAAGTCATTCTTTGTCATTGGGTGGGCAGTTACATCCCAATTGTCTGCTAGTTTCAGTACTGTTTCGTATAACTTTCTCCATGCAATCAAACATACTGAATTCTCCAACAAGTTGTGCTTGCACAGCATTTGGAGCCCATTCTCTGTACACGATGTCACCGTTGGATTGAACGTTGAGGCCAAACCTCTCGTAGCCCTAAAGAGTGAACGAAGTCATAGTTAGCAGGGGCAAACTTCACAGTCAATTGGCACGCTCCCAGAACAAGGGCATCATAAGGGTATTTAATTCTCACCTTGCTGAACGTTTCAAGACCACCTTCTGTCTCATTGATGGTCTTCACCCAGCCTTCGACGAAACTGAACCTTTGCTTCAAAGCATCCCGAAAAGGCTCCAGCCAAGGGTCCAGCTGTATGACACCTGAATATATTCAGCATAAAGTGGAATTGTACAAGGTGTCGTTTGAAGTGACCAACCTGTGCCGTCCGGCGGGGAGCTATCCGCAGCTTGGGAGGTACCCATTCCGGCAGCTGGCAGGAACTGATAAGGCTCAATCAGGTACAGAACCTTGTTACTGAGATCCGACGAAGCAAATTGAGATAGTTTGAACCTAACACTACCACCAGTAATTGCAAGAAGAAAATTTAGGCAATGGTTGGGGAGAATGCAGAAGAGGAGAAGGAAACCTGATTTCCTGATGCGGGGGGTTGTTGAGAGGCCAAAGCTCCCGTGGTCTCCCCATGTGACATCACCCTACCCTTGACTTTTGTTTGCGTATCTTTCATTCTCTGTACCTTTCACAATACTAGACGTTTCCCTTGGATTGTTTTGTCGATTACAAGCGAAATATTAATCTACTATGATATACACGAGGATTATCGCACCCTCGAATCTATCCCCGAGATTGAAGGGAGGCATCGTGTTAAGTCTACTCATGACAAGATAAGACGTTGATAACTGACTTTATCTTGACAAACACAATGTATAATTAAAACAAATCGAGAATCAAATGGTAGGACATGCATGCGTCACGTTTAGTGATGGCCATGGCGCCGATGATTGTGACGGCCAGCACGAGGAGGGCCTGTTGGTGCTGGCTTGCCATTTCCGAACGGACAACCACCAACCTCACCGGCAGACTGTTCAGGAGGTTGCTGCGAAGATTGCTGGAAAGGTCGCTCAGTGGCCACAACAGGAGCTGGTGTGCTACTGGACGTCTTCTGCTCGGCCGTGGTGGAGGTCGCCTCAGCAACCGTAGTCGGTTTAGAGGACGCCACAACCGCCCGGACCTTCGCTGTTGAGCCTTTGTTGGCCATCAAAGCACTGTACGGAGTCGCTCCAGGGTAGAAGGAGGTGGGGATGGTCGGGATTGGAATGGAGGCTGTGATACCGAAGTCCGTCTTGAGATCGGCAGCCATTGTTGCCGCCGAATAGCCCGATGGGGCGCTGGAGACCGTAGTCGTGGTCGCCTCATAAGCAACGTGGCTAGAGCCTGATTTGAGACAAAACCCAGTGCCATAAGCGTTGCGGCAAGAGTACCATTGTCGCTGCCTGGAACTGTCCTCAGTCCACATGGCAAAGTCCTCAATGGTGATATCGTAGCAAGGGGCACCGTCTGGGCAAACAATCTTGATAGGTCCTCTTGCAGCACCATTCTCCTCAGTTCCCTTCCAGTTTCTGAGAGTGATGTTGCTCAGTTCCACACCATTTCCTCCCTGAGAGCTCATGCTGGCCCAGTAGCTGTCAATATCGAACGAGTAGGCGTTTCCGTGGCCTGAGAAATGCAAGGTGCAGGGTTAGCATTTTGTCAAGGAACTCCGCTAACTGGCTTATATGGATGCTTGTGCTTACCGATGAAGTTCTCAAATAGCAGATTAGTCGCAGAGCCACTACCACCGTTGCTTTTGATGAACATCATGTTGTTGGAGTTCCAGGTGTAAATGTTCCGGTAGGTGATATCACTGATATCGGTATCCTTTCCGAGAGAACCCATACCACATCCGCCGCTCCAGTTGCAGTAGATATTCTCAACCAAGATGTTCTTAGAAGGGCTCTGCAGATGGGTGTTAGACAGTCATTGAGATGAAAGGTGCGCTGGGATGGAAACATACCTTGACTGTGACACACTCATCCTTGTTCGTTACCTCGATCTATTACATGTAAGCTACCGAGGAACGCCAGACTCAAAATATCGGCAATTCACTACTCACGTCATGAATCCAGACGTTCGTTGACCAAACGTCAACACCATCCAAGCCACCGTGGTTACCACCACGAATTGCCATGTTATATACTTCGCCGTTGGTGCAAGTATCCAGGGAAAAGTGGAAGGCAGGGGCATCGACAAGGATGAAGTCATGAACCGAGAAATCCGTAACATCATAGAGTCGCAAAAGACGAGGCCCACTCCATTTGTTATCCTTGTGGTACTCATAGCCCAAGCCCTGCATGGCACCCGACGATGTGCTACTGAAGAGCTCAAAATCACTGGAATGTTCAATAAAGATCATGTTTCCACCGTCCGTGCCGGTGCGGTAGATGGTTCCATCAATCTGCAGTGCCCATGCCTTACCACCACTCAGTTTGGCCCAAGTTGATAGTGCATAATCTCCCGATGGCACATAAACCAAACCGCCAGATTTGCAGTCGGCGAACGCCGATGCCAGAGGGGGCCCGAGATCGGTGGTCTTATCGGCTTTAGCTCCGTAATCGAGGACATTGCAAGTCTTCGTGGCGGCTTTCGTCGAAGCCGATGTTAATGGTCCCACAGATCCAGAAAGGCTGGCCACCGCAAGGGTAGGTACCAGACTCACGAGAGAAAACAACGACAATGTGTTGATCCGCATTTTGCTGAGCGGAACTGGAGAAGAAAAGGTGAGCGTGAGTATAGAGGCAAGAAGGATTGTAACGCACGAGCGAGAAGAGCTCTTAAGTAGAGCTAGACCCTGGATCTCAACCTGAAACAACTTCCCTAAGACATGGATGGAGCCAGCATCTAGTAGCCCTAGTTTCAAACAGCCGCTGGTTACTATCTATGCACTCCCACGTCTGAGCGATAATCTGTCAAATCGGACTAGACTTCTAGAACTAGACATCGGTTTGAGTCAAGTAGATTAGTCGGCGCCCCAGGAGCAACGATGCATACCAATCTCTAACAAAAGAGCCATGGCATTCTTCGGAGGATTAAACCAAGCACGAACATCCGTCTCGTGTTTCGCAGCATATATCGGCTGTCGTCCCGGATCTGCAATTTCGCTCAACAAGATGTCCACAGAGCTCGATAAGTCTGTTCGGTCCTTAACGCACAAAACTTCACCCTCCATCAAGCTTTTGATGCTCCTATCCATTGGGGTGGAATACCCTCCAAAGAAGTGGATCCAAACGAGAGCTGAAACGCTCTAAAAAGTGCCGCTTCCGGAGAATAGCCGACAAGAAAGAAAGAGCCCTTTACTCCAAAATTGAGAATTAGGAGGTAAGCAACTCCAATTGAAGTTAAAGGGGTGAGGTTAAATGAAGGCTTGGAGTAAAATTAATTACCCTCTGACCAGATCCAGTCAAGGATCGCCAATACCTGTGACGAACAGGAGCAGTTGGCCTTCTATGCTTAGTCTAAGCTTGATTCACATTAAGTGTTGGAGGCTCCATGCACTCATTTATGGCTACCCATGTCCGGGTTCAGCCCTGTGCGATGTTTTCCGGGCCACCTGCTGCTGCTTCTCCTCGGGCTGAAGTATGGGTATGTTCCGCTCCAGCTAAGGCCATGTCTAAAACAGGATCGTTCAAAAAGGGGCAGAAAAAAATGTATGCATTTGAATTAAATTTGTATTCTCGAAAAGCCCCCAATATGTGCAACGAAATAGATGTCTATCTGGACTCAATCATACGGCAAATTGATAACATTTGATGTCCTCACGCTAGTCATTGTCGGCATGCCGAATGTACAGGATTCCCAAGAGGCTTGGCCTGGTATGGGACCGTGGACACATTCGGTCTGACTGGACAAATCAATGAAGTCAGTATGGATTCTCCATTCCATTCAACGAATGCAAAGCTAATTGAACTCACTATTTACAGACTGGTGCCAAGAGTAGCGACAACACTGCCAACAGAAGTGCCTAGAGCAGGCAGAGCGAGATTGGTGAGAAGGCCTGCAACATTGGGAGAGAGCTGGATGAGAAGGAAAGAGCCATCCTGGGCGACGACAGTGAGAAGGTTCTTAACGGGCTCGCCGAGGTCCTTAAGAAGATCACCGACGCTACCGGCGGTCTTGATGATCTGACCTACGGAGGTACCGACTCCAGGGAGGCCGAGACCGGCGAGGAGAGAGGCGACAGATGGACTGAGCTGGATGAGGAGACGCTTGGAATCGGTACCGGTGACTTCAAGGACATCTTGCACCTTGGGGGCAACGTCCTGAACGAGCTGGCCATCGGCGGAGCGCTTCAGGTTCTCTCCAAGGGTAGCAACAATGCTGCCAACGGGAATACCGACGCCAGGAAGACCGGCCTTAGAGAGAAGGCCAGCGATGTCAGAAGACAGCTTGATCAAAAGAGCGCTACCGTCCTTGCTGACGACGGTCAGAAGGCCGTCAACAACTGGGCCAAGGTCCTTGACCAGGTCGCCGACCGAGGCAGCCGTCTTGACAACCTCACCGACAGAGACGCCAACACCGGGAAGGCCGAGGCCGGAGAGGAGGCCGGCAACACTGGGGCTAAGCTCAATGAGGAGCTTCTTCGCATTAGGGCCAGTGACAGTGAGAACCTGGTTCACACCATGGCCAACATCCTGAACAATGTGACCACTGGCACCGGAAGAGGGGGCTGGGGATGCTGCAGGAATAGCATATGTGTTGGATGTAGCCTCCTTGAGGATACTGACATCAGAGAGACTGCCAGCAGGGGCAGCCATGGCCGAAGAGGCCAAAGCAGCGATGACAGTGATAAGAGAAGCCTTCATTTTGATGAGATTTCTGAAAGAAAATTAAAATGAACGACAGGATATATTGATACCGGGTATAACCGTTAATGAATGACGGAAGTTGGAGAGCGAGAGAACGAATGAGTGTTGCGCTGCTGGTCGAGAAAGAAAAGTCAATCGAGCTGGAGCTCTCTAAGCCTTATATACTGCAGCTGCTCGATATTATCTGTTTGTTACCGTCCTTTTCAGAGAGCAGCGGGACAGATTGATTAGCTGGCGGGTCAACCATTTGACTAGGGACTTGCATTATTGCTCAGGAGAGTAAAGCTTCATCGCAAGCTTGATGGAGACAAAGGACCACCACACTGTGGGTATTGCATATGAAAACAGGATACGGGTTCTCCAATGCAACCTCGTGCCATAAGCCTGTGCGGCTTGTACACCAGTACTATCGCTATGCTACGTATACTGACACCGAATCTAGGCGCCAGAGTGATCTACGTGCAGTTCCCACCATGAAGCTCGAACAACCCATACAATTCCAAGAGGACCATATTTTGGGAAGAGGCTCAACGTTACAATCGCCAATTCTCTCCATAGACGCTAGATAGGATAATACTGCAATAAGAGCGCAATCATTGCTTGTTCGGGGAGGGCCGGATCCGCTGATCTACACGGGATAGACTTTAAGACATCATGGCTTCCACGTCTTCCGCGCATCCTCCCTAGTTACTTGTTAACTACTACAGTGATCTGCATCTTAATTTTACCAGATAACTGGCACCAGGTACCGGGCACCCTTTCGATCACATGCGCTGCTAGAAGCCGAATAGTACTCCGTACGCTGATTTGATATTCATTTGGCCTTATTTGATTGAAGGAGTAGACTATCGATGAGAGAAACTGAAGAACACGAGCTACTTCGCCGCGATAAACTATATCTGGGCACTAATCGCGAAGAATTCGGAATCGACTTTCCCCTACCCAGTATATGCACAGCATACATGGTCTAGAAGGTAGAAGACAGACTTCGCGACCATTCGGGTAGCCGGCCTGCCCAGACCTATGGATCCTAACCCTTATGATCTTCAATGGAGCGAAGGCGGTTCAGTTGATTTTTCGTTCAGCCTTACTCTACGAGTATGGGAGTACCGGATAAGCTATTGAAGCTTACATCCACAGTTCTCTGTGTATGCATTGGTTCTTGGATTGTGAGTAATCTAGTGATTCATGAGCTATTATACTTTGCACCGGCCGACTATGAGTTTGGCTGATGAACGATACTTGGACTTGGCGGTGATGCTGGTAGTTCAAGCCATCGCATAACACCATCACATAACGCTATCGCATAATACCTGCGCTCTACCCCTGGTTCCTCGCAGTGGACATGACATCTAGGGCCCGATAGGAAACACTCCACTTCTCTTGGACGGCAATTACTGCGTACGCCCATAAACCGAATAATCAGAAAATGAAGCTCATGATTCCGCGGGCTCCGCTCCGAGGTCTGCCGGACTCGAGCTCTACTCTACCACAGTATAGCAAGGACTGAGAATGATCTTGCATATGGAGATCCTGGTGACAATGTTTTTCTTTTTCTTTTTCTTTTTCTTTCATGACCCCTGTTTCATGCAAAAGAATTTAATCCTGAGCATACAAATTCTCCGACACTTTAGCGGAGGAATAAGAAAAAGAGTACATGGAAAACATCAGGGTAGCTAACTTACGACGACATCCCCAGAGGAAGGACCTGATCATCTCGCCATAATTTATTCAGTCCCGCAACGGATTTCCACAGAGGAATTCCCCGAAATCCAGCACGCAAAAATATGCATAGTCGTTGGGACCGTTTCAGTTGATGATCGACAAGCTAATCAGTCCGTTGCCGATCATCTCCATCAGCGTTCGCGAATGAACAACGACAGCCAAGACTGGATGGGGTTTATCGTTACTATTGTCTCTACTATTGGTAACTATTATGGATATGGCAAATGGAGAGCTAGCTTCGCTAGTCACTCCTCGCTGGCGTTCGGCGGAGTTCCTCCGTATGCGGTATCTGTCCGACGTTCCGAAGGGAAAAAGGAGAGCCCTAACTACCGGCGCTGTGGTAGTAGATCCGCCGCTATTTCGGGGCCGCTTTCTTTTCCCCTGCCGCCCAATGGGTTTCTCAAAACGCGCATGATAGTAGCCGCGGATATCGAATTAAGAATTTCACCGTGTCAGCTGATACCACCATAGAAACTATCACGTTCAGTAACTCTTGAGGTACTCGGAGTATATGGAGTCTTTTCGGGCGCCCAGGGCCTGTGAAATGGTCTACCCCGGCTAACCCGTCATCTCCTAGTCTAATGAGCTCTCCAATGGATTATCTTTCCAACCAATAAATACTATGATGGCTGAATATAGCCATAGCTCTGCTGGGTATGTATGAATGTGAATATGTACAAAGAATATGCCATAGGCAAAAACTGTGCATGTTGATCAACTTCAGGAAGCAGGGCTGGGCGGCAACTCGCCCGTGAACCAGTCGCTCGCAGTCTCGCCCAGTTCGAACTCTAGGGTTCCTCCCTGGGCGAATATATCGTCCCATGTGAGCCAGTTCTTCTTCCAATCCTTTCCGTTCAACCGAAGTTTCTGCACATAGATTTGACTATCGCCGTTCCCGTCGCCGCCGGTCGCGGCAATGCTCAGTTTCTTCCCGTCCCCAAGCTCAATAGTCAACGACTCGAACCACGGAGAATGAACCAAAAAGGTCGTTTGCCCCGTGATGGGATACAGACCAATCATATTCCATAAAAGCCAGGTCTGCATGGCCCCGGCATCGCTGTTACCAGGGAGACCTTTAACTCCAGTGCCATAATAGGTTTTTGCGATGTTGCGTGATCGGGAAACCGATAGATCCTGTCGGTTGATATAGTGGTACAGATACGGGATATTGAACATCCTAATAGGGCAGTCAGCGACACTATTTACGCTGAAATGGGGCCACCACCGATAGCCATAAAAGGACAAGAAGACTTACGGTTCGTTGGTGGGATCGAAGATGATGCCACTAGAGCCACTGGCCCCTTCGGTGAACATGGTGTCCAAGCGCTCCAGGACAGTCTGGGCCCCGCCCATCATCTCGATCATCTGCTCCATGTCGTGAACACTTGCCCAAGAATACGCCCAGGAGCTGGCCTCGTAATATGGATCTCCCCAGTAGCCACTGTCCTTCAGTGGATCTGTTTCGATGAAGCCAGTGGTGTCGCGTGGAACCACAAAGCCGGAAAATCCCAACGAAGTCTGGTTGGAATTCCAATGATTTCTCCAGTTTCTTGATCGGTTCAGGTATTTGTCTGCGTCTTCATGCTGCTCAAGACCTGATGCTACTTGATAGAGGCCGAAGTCGTTACAAGAGTACTCAACTGCTCGAGTGACGGCACGGCTGTACTTGGGTGTGATAAACCCGAGACTCAGCCAGTCTGGCAGTGCGCCTCGTCCCTCTTTGGTCGACGAATCTGGCGCCATAGAGTCGACTGGATCGTTTGGCGGAGCCACTTCGGCATCTTTTACCATTGCCCGGTACCCGTCTTCCCAGTTCACTGCTCCACGGACCCCTTTCACATAAGCATCGGCAAGGATATTGTCGGCATTGGAACCACCTTGTGTTCTTCCATTGTAGTTCGACGAGCGAGCATCCGGGAGGTAGCCTTCAAACCGCCAGATGTCGATTAAAGAACGAATTTGTTCTTCATATGCCGCGGGCTGCAGGACTTGCATGAGAGCAGTAGAACAACGAAAAAGGTCCTATAACTTTATTAGCCACGAGGGAATTCATCTCTTGTGGGTGAGGCTCCCGGAATCACACGTACCCAGTAAGTGAAGATGTCTTGATAGTATGGCTCAGAAGATACCCAGCCAGGGTTCTCCCCGGTCTGGTTGGTTGGGATTAAATGCATGAAGTAGAGGGAAGTGTACAACAAGGTGAGACTTTTTTCGTTTGTGTTCGTGGTAGTCACTTTAGACAAAACCTTGGAGCTCCATTCAGCCTGGGCGTCACGAACAACAGATGCGAATTTTGTTCCTTCCGGGATTTCGTCATGGACATTTTGGCATGCTTTCTCCGTGGAGAGCCACGAGATGCCGACGCGCGATGTGACTACAGTCTGTTGGAAGGTGAACAAACCTCCGACACGTGTTGTACTGGAGGATGAAGATGCAAATCCGTTGGCCTGCTCGACACTTCCTCCCGCATCGTTTCCGGTGTACGTTCTGTTACGAACCGGAGCAGCATCAAAATAACCACCTACCAAGAACGTCAGTCTTTGTTCATCATTGAGGTCTAAATACGACAAACCCACAGAAATAGATCGACCAATCGGGTGAACGATTCCAGCCGTTATCATACACACCCTGGCCTTCATAATGTCCGTCGGGGAAGATGGTGATGTTTCCACCTCTGTACCCTTGTCCAAGTCCTTGGCCTCGAAATGAGGGAAGGACGTGTGAAACATCGACCAGAACATTCCCCGTCGATCCTGTAGGAAATGTATACTGATACATCCCTGCATGAGCCGATGCGCTCAACTCGACGATAGTCCCCTCAGATGTCTGCGCCTTGTAGTAGCCCACAGACGCTTCATCAGTCCCTGCCCGGGCGACAGTCTTATTCGATAGGGGATTACTGATGTTTCCGATCAAGGGCAGCTGGGAAACTGTCCCGTACTTGGGCGCTCCCCCGGTACCTTGTTCATGCATCATGCTGAAACCGGAGAACACACCATTGGGAAGGTAGCCCGAATAGGCATCTGTTCCTGAGATGTACAGATCAGGACCCAACTTGACCATGCCAAAAGGTCGAGCGGCACCAGGGAAGTTATTGCCCCCATTTTCTGTGCCCAAGCTTCATGAGATTAGAAGCCGTTCGGTATAAGATCTGCGCGAGATTCGAGACTCGATACTTACAAGAGATTTACGTGGGATGTTAAATCAGCAGACAGGACCAGTTGCTGTAACAGTGTCAGCACCAGCAAGGCGCCTAACAACGCCATGGTCACGACTGTTCCTAGAAGGATGCCCGTTAGAGTCGCCAGTCTTTCTATCTTCTTCGATGGTATCTCGGGAGCTGTCCTACAAGGAGCGGAACACAATCAATCACCCACAGCTTGCAGCGAATGCACCTCTGACTGCAATCAAATCCAATTTATTCTTTTAAAAATCACGCCTCTGCGGGGTGTTACACAGTCATTTCCTAAGGTACAAGAAAGCGATGAGGGGAAGGTGCGAGGCCACTGATGGCAAAGGACAGTCGCACATGCCCTGATCACCGGCAGTCTCATGGCTGTGGGCGTTGTCCAATACATGGGTGTGAAAGTCCTGTGGGTTCCGGGAGATGCAAGGATGGAAGTGTATTGAACGTAGATGGAGCATGCCCGATCGTTTAGCGTCAAAAGGGGGGAGACTAAAAATTAAGATAGTTGGAGATACAAAGAAGCTATTGCCCCGCCAGGATCTACTGATAGAGAACAGCAGTCTTGACCATTACAAGCAACCCATGGATACAGAAAAGGAGAGCGCATTCTTGCCCCTGAATCAGCCCTACCGGAATGTCCCCTTTGCTTGTTGGCAAACAAAAAAAAAATAAAAAATAAAAAAAGAAACAAAACCACCGAAACCACAAACAAGAGAATGAAACAACCGGGCAAGCATAGACAATGTCAGCACGGAGTACTGCTCGCGACATCGTTCCCTGGGCTAGATGTGCCATCCTCGGATCTGCATATGGGAAGCAGTTCTCGCGAGAGTTCATCATTCTCCAGTCACAAGCCAAGATGGCGCACATGCCATTCATTTTACTGACAACTTGTTGAATCACACTGGCCTATTCCCCATGAAGCTAAGACTCTACAGTATGTGCCGTTGTCGATCACCTCACGTCCAGTATGGTCCAACATCTGGGATCATGCCTTCTGGACTGGTGATCATGGCCACCACCGCCAATGATCCGCCCACATGCTCGACTCAGGGGTTCCGTCCAGGACAAATGTGATTGGTTGGTTCCTGAAAAAGGTGTCAGGTGATTGGTTCATGGTATTACATAATCACTGGTCACATCTCTGCAGTCTGGAGCCTGAGGAATTCTCCCCTTGCGTTAGGCAAGTAAGGTCTGTAAAGTCTTAGATCCATGGCAATTTGTTACCTCATACGGAGTACGATGTATCATCTTGGGGGTTCTAATATTAACTGGAAGCTTGGAACCCTGCTACCATTTGTCCCTGTATAAAAGAAAAGCCGTGGCATGCATGACATATTTCACTAATCGCGATTATCCGAATTACACATAGGGTTTCATCTCATACGTCCGTCGAAATTGGTCATCGACGTGGACCAGGTAGTACGTGCCGGGCGCGAGGCTGTCGACACTTCCTTTAGGGGTGTAATCCTTCTGTTGGTAGGCCTTCTCGCGGAGTTGACACATCTAGAACGGTCAGACCATTATCAATTTAGGGAAATGCGTCTATTGAACGACGTACCTGGTCATAGAACTCAGGGGATACCTCTGTGCGGGCATTTAACCGACCATGCAAACTGATTTTCTGCGCCATTTCGGTAATGTCACCCTTGACCTGCAAGCTGAACATGGTACTGGCAAGACCGCCGCCATAGCTGAACATGCCAATACGCTTGTTCTGCAGTTTCTCACTCGGGACGTTGCTCAACAGACTTACTAGCGCCGAATATATGCTAGCTGTATACATGTTGCCGCAGTGGGCCGGCGCTGTAAGGGACGATTGGACACGGTCCGAGAACTTGTCCTGGGCCATTTTGATACAGAGCTTCTCAATGCTCTTATCTGTCAAAGATGCCGTATATTCGACATCTCGAATTCCAGACGGGACATAATCGAAACGATCTGGTTCCAGTCGGAAGTCGTTGAATAACAAGCGACCGTATGCCTTGGCTACTAACTTGCAGTTGGGGGCATGGAATACCATGTAGTCAAAGGTATCTAGAAAGCTACTCTTGCTACTGGTCGCCCTCCCGTTCAACTCGCCATTTGTTTTGGCCAGCTTCTTGCTGCGATAGCGTTGATAGCAATTATCCAGCGCCTGAAGATAACAGGTATTCGAGAAGTGCCCATCTACCAGAGGGTATTCGGATTTGAGATCGGCTTTATAGAAGTCATACACATGCTTCATGTACGACGCGCGGAGTGGCTCCAAAACTAGGGGTGCGTTTGGGCCTATGAGCATGGCTACACAGCCAACGCCACCTGTCGGGCGCGCTGCCGGCGTATCGTACAAAGCAATATCGCCTGCGACAACAATGGCGTTACGCCCATCCCAGGCAGACGATTCCACCCAGTTCACGGCGTTGAACAGTGCGTTTGTTCCCCCATAGCAGGCGTTGCATGTATCGACGCCTTCGATATCGGCGTTGTCACCGAACAATTGCATCAGGACAGACTTGCAGGACTTGGACTTATCCAAGAGGGTTTCTGTTCCGACTTCAAGGCGACCGATCGTCTCTGGGTCGATTGAGTATTTTCGGAGCAGGGAAGAAACAGTGGTGAGGGCTAGAGAGTAGATATCTGTCCATCAAGGTCAGCCAACTGTTGAAGGAGCTTGGTGGCTCTTGTTTCAGTCTACCTTCCCGGTCATCACAGAAGCTCATCTTCTGCTGGCCGAGCCCGATGGTGAATTTTCCGGCACTGGCCCCTAGAAAGGTCTCGAGCTCCGGTTGCGGCACATACTAGATTTCGCTCTGGTTAAATGTTTTTCTAGGTGATTCAAAGAGGCTCAGGACATACACGACTGGGAAAGTAGATCTCGATGGCCTTGATGCCAATGTTCTGGGGTGTCGATGGCATTTTGTCGACCTGATATATGGAATAACACAACGTGCTCACAGGGTGAATATCTGAAGATCGAAGAAAGGAAAGCAAATTGATGGAATAGGAGGAACTTCATTCGACAACGTCTCATGTCCAATATATGCCCTGCTGGCAACTATCCTTTCACCTGTACGGTATGAAGTCTACTATGTAGATCAGGTACTATGCTACCTAATCACGCGCTAACGCCATGGCGAATCCACCACGGGCTGTATGGGATAGACGCTACAGTGTATATTCGAGCACCTTGATTCTAGCTTCCCTCATTGGACGGATAGGTGCTGACTCTGCCTCATTTCTATAGAACCCTGCAGACTACCTATACTAAATTGAAACATACTGTTGCCTACTACATGATGTACACGTGTATGTTAGCGGTGGCTTGGACGATTGTCAGGTCATCAATTGGCTTATTGATCTGACGTGCGAGTAAATGTAGGTTGCCATTGGGTTTAATCTCACATGCCTTGATTTCCATGAGGACTTTCAAATGTAATAATAGCCATCTGTCGGTCCACCGGAACTTGCTCTATCAGAGCAATAGCAGCACTATACTTGATCCGTCTCCTGTTTATGCTGTATTTGTCTTTTTGCAGTTGATGAATAATCATAGTTTGTTAACTATAACTAACACCATCAATATATAACCTCGCACGTGCACATAAATGGTCACGCTTCCATGCCCTATGTTATGCACAGCATAATTTATAAGCAAACTTATTAAATGAACCACGAATGCACAACTATCGATAATTAGCTGACTTTAACCCAGTTAACGAGAAAATGGTCTTCTAATGCCGTTAATTATAATCTCCTAGAAAGAGCTGGACAAGCTAAACAATAGCCAATAATCTACTTCCGGTATCCATCTAGCCGAAGGTTCTGAAGAATACCAAATCTAGTTATCACCATTGGTATATGCTCTCAGATGCAGAAATATTGCCTTACGAGATATTGCATCTTGGAAGCTTATCAGGAGTGGTGCAATGCAGGCACCATTGAGATTGATCCCTTTTCACGTTGCGTGTAGTGGGAATACATGTCTTTTTTTTTTTTTTTTTTTTTTGGCTACATTCTTTCCTTTGTTGCTTGAAAAGATAAAGATAATGTACTAGAATATGGCCACAATATCGTGATCAAAACTTCTGAGATAGCTTGTTTATCCCGAGAATCGCAGCAATGGTTTTCTTTTACCGATCCTCTCACCATGGATGCCTGTTTAGGCGGGCCATGGGCGTGCTGCTCGTATGATCTTGGCAAGCACTGGCAAATTGGATATATCTATTTCGGGATAGGTATATACATAGGTCTCTGGTGAAGATATTGAGGAAATGGTGCGGATATTATGTGGAAGATAGTAAAAGTGATTACGTACCCTCATAAGTCCCACGACTACGACAGTCAGGCAGTGATGCTTAGTGAGAGGAAGGCTTAGGGTGTACCTCTCCCAGCTATATTATACTGAAGGAAGGACTAGTAGCTCATCTTTGGTTGTCGGTGAGAGATATCTATGAGCTGCCTCCGTCTAACTGGGTAATCTTCGGCCGGTCGTGACTTCACCGGTGAGGATGACGACTATTTTGGAGTCGAAGAATTTATCCATATATGATGGTTTGATATGCCGGCTGGGGTTTTCTAGAAGAAATCATCATTGGTTGCTAAATGACCTCTGTTAGGGCTAATGCAAAGATTGGGTGTGGATAGGTCATGCCACAGTAAGGATGATTGGAGAAGATCTTCTGGCTAGACGGATGAGCACCACCTTCCCTGTCGGGCGTGAGATTAAATGGCATCATAGACGAACGGCTGGCCATGACATGACTTGTCTGGCATGGCAAGAGTAATTCTTTGGAAAGACACCGTCTGATATCTGGTGGATTGAATGGAGTCTAGTGGCATCTTGGCGACCGCATCCAGTGGACGGAAAAATGACACCCCGCGAAGAGGACAGAATTTCTCCGTCCGTATCCACAACGCGGAGTCCAAAGAAGCATTGCCGAGTCACGTCCATTGCCCCGGAGTAGCTTGCTATGGGGCACCGTGCGCGGGGAGAGGAAAAAAAAGAAGGGGTTGCCACTGGGGTTTTGCGGGCGGCGCCGCCAGTGCCTATCACGGTGCTTAGCATCGTCGACAACAGCCTATCACAACCCAGATATGTCTTCCTGGATGGAGTAGAGCTATGGAGCCCTTCGTTGACCCATAGATAAACACGAGTCTGGGGAGGATTGGGGAATATAATGCGGGTTTCCCCAGAGGTCTCCCGGGCTTTTCTTTTCTCGAGACGGCCCTTCGTGGTTGAACTGTTTGTCACCTATCGGTCCTGACCAATTCCGCCAAAATGGGCTTCTTCAAGAATTACCGTGTTTATATCCTTACGGCAGTGGCCTACTCTGGGTCCCTGCTTTTCGGTACGTTTCCCTGTTGATGCAGACTGACCTGTGGTACATGGACTAATGATGTTCTGTAGGATTCGACACTGGAGTGATGGGCAGTGTCCTTGCTCTGGAAAGCTTCAAGAATGATTTCGGTCTCGCGGGATCCGATGGATTTGCAGACGCGGCAAATGCCCAGGTTTCCTCCAATGTGGTGTCTCTGCTCACTGCTGGCTGTTTCTTCGGCGCCATCGGTGCCTCCTTCCTCAATGACTACCTCGGACGTCGTTACTCCCTCATGATCCTATCTGTCGTGTTCCTGATTGGAGCTGCTATTCAAGTTGGCGCAAGCCATGAAATTGGTATGATCTATGGTGGCAGAGTCGTGGCCGGATTGGGTATCGGCGGCATGTCCAGTATCACACCGGTGTTTGTGGGCGAGAGTGCCCCCCCGGCGGTACGAGGTCGTATTGCGGGAATGTTCCAGGAGTTTCTGGTCATCGGAAGCACCTTTGCCTACTGGCTGGACTATGGTGTGGCCCTGCACATTGCACCCAGCACTAAGCAATGGCGGATTCCAGTTGCGGTCCAGCTCATCCCGGGCGGGCTCATGCTGATCGGACTCTTCTTTCTCAAGGAGTCCCCCCGCTGGCTGACCAGCAAAGGCCGCCATGAAGAGGCGCTGCAGTCTCTGGCGTACATTAGAAATGAGCCCGCCAGTAGCGAGGTGGTGCAGACCGAGATAGCTGAGATCCGCGCCTCCATCGAGGAGGAGCAGGCCGCGACCGAGGGATTGACTTACAAAGAGTTCCTTCAGAAGAGCAACCGAAACCGCTTCCTGTTTGCCGTCGTACTCATGCTCTGCCAGCAGTTTTCGGGGACGAACTCCATTGGATATTATGCACCCCAGATCTTCCAAACCATCGGTCTTAGCGCGACCAACTCGTCGCTTTTCGCCACGGGTGTTTATGGAACCGTCAAGGTCGTCGCGACGGCGATATTCCTGTTCGTCGGTATAGATCGCTGGGGACGGAAGAAGAGTCTGATTGGAGGCTCAATCTGGATGGCTTCCATGATGTTTATCATTGGTGCCGTCTTGGCCACTCACCCGCCTGACACATCTGCGTCAGGGGTTTCTCAGGCTTCCATTGCCATGGTCGTCATGATCTATCTTTATGTCATTGGGTACAGCGCCTCATGGGGGCCAACTCCATGGGTCTATTTGAGTGAGGTAAGACTAGTCCCTCTATACGAGAAACCAACATACTATCCGAGACATCCTCTGACTGACTCCCGCGCTAGATATTCCCAACCCGCCTGCGTGCATACGGTGTTGGCCTGGGAGCAAGCAGCCAATGGCTGTTCAGCTTCGTTGTTACCGAATTCACGCCCCACGCGGTGCACAACCTGGGCTGGCGGACGTTCCTCATGTTCGGAATCTTCTGCGCGGCCAATGGCGTGTTCATCGTCTTCTTCGCCAAGGAAACCAAGGGCCGCTCTCTCGAAGAGATGGACATTCTCTTTGGAGCAGTCGATGAAAATGAGCGCCGTGCTGCCGTGGAACATACCCTGAACAAGGGTGTGGTCTCTCATATCGAGCGGACCGAGGAGGACAAAGTCTAGACTGTTTAGACCATGACGCGACGATCGAATTACTGTATAAAACGGGAGAAATTGGTTATAGAGCTTAGTCAGGACTAGAGCTATCCCAACATATTCATTTCATTCCATTGTTTCCATTCGTGTGACGATCAACATGCGTTATTAAATTAGGGTTGCACCAGCAAGGTAGAGACAAAAGGCCAACCGTTTACTAGTACTTCCCATCCCAACAGCCGCTAACGTTAATCTCCTTCATTGTGAGCTCCACAAGCCGTACCCCAGTCAAGTAACCGATCCGCGGGCCTCAACGATTCACAACCGGGGACCTTTATACGAGACAATTGAGACATTTTCTTTGATACAGAACTGTGGCTCTTGGCACTGATGTAATCGAAAAAACATCGCAATCTTCCTTGTGCAACCCTAACAGCCCCAAAGTAAACATTGCTGACAGAATCGTTCCAGAAAAGGGGCGCCATGTATCGCCCGAACATAGGACCTCCAGTAGTATAGGCAAGGGGGAGCGAAGTCAGGCTTCCTCCAACATCAACGCCTCCCCACGTAGCCCAACTCCACAGTATCGAGAGCAGGTGACACACGATCGCAGCTTTGTATTGTTCACTGCATCCGGGAAGGAAGGAGATGAATCGCCTCGAATTTGTCAGTGCAGTGAAAAAAACAAGGGTCCCGTTTATCTTTTAGACACCGTGAATGCCCACTTCCCAATACCTATATAAGGACAAAAAAGTTCGTATCGACCTAGTTATCCGAAATCTCATATTTCTCGCCAGCTTCAAGCTTTCTCGGTCAGAAGTACGTGCAACCATGCTGTTTTATAGTGCTTTCGGCGGGCTTTTTCTGTGTCTCCTGGATGTCTGTGTGACGGTGTCCGCGTTCTCATGTGCGTATCCGCCCCTCATCCACGCGACGAGGGACGACCTTGCTAGTGATCTGCGGGACAATTGCTATTTTAGCGTTGATTTGGTTAAGGTTTGTTCTTGGGCCATGGTGGTGTGGTGGTTGGGTTGATGGCTGATTGGGTATAGACGTATGTTGCGCGGATCAATGAGGTCAATTCTACGCTTCGTCCGATCCTGGAGGTGAACCCGGATGCATTGCATGATGCCGAGGTGTTGGATGGGGAGAGACAGAATGGCTCTAGTCGGGGGTAAGTATAGTACCGATATGAGTTAGACTTCTTGACTGTCATGTGCTGATGACTGGCTTAGAGAGTTGCATGGTATGCCGATTCTGGTCAAGGATAATATTGGAACGGCGGGTAGGATGCAGACGACAGGTATGTACATGCATATCTTCTCTGGTTTATACTGGTAGTGCCAATTACTGTTGAGTACACTCGGCTGATGTGTGTTTGTGTTTAAGCCGGCTCTTACTCGCTCTATGGTTCCCGCGTGCGTGAGGATGCCACTGTTGTGAGGAGACTCAAGGATTCTGGGGCTATCATCCTCGGAAAGACGAGTATGTCGGAGTGGATGAATTTCCGTTCGTCGAATACATCCAGCGGCTGGAGTCCTAGGGGTGGGCAAACCCTGGGTGCTTATCATCCGATGCAGGACCCTGAAGGAAGCTCAAGTGGTAGCGCCGTGGCTGTTGATCTCGGACTGGCTTTAGCAGCGCTTGGAACGGAAGTAAGTGGCAGCGTACTGTGCCGCATGTAGGCCCATCATATGCTAACACAGGAGTCTAGACAATGGGAAGCATACTATTTCCCAGCGAGGTCAACAACATTGTCGGAATCAAACCAACAGTCGGCCTTACTTCGCGCTACGGCGTCATCCCTGTTAGCGAGCGCCAAGACACCATTGGTCCAATGGCTCGAACAGTCAGAGATGCAGCGTGGGTTCTGGAGGCCATCGCAGGTAGAGATGAGAGAGATAACTACACACTTGCTTCACCTGACCCACCTGTCCCCTCCTATGCTGATGCCTGCCAGTTGGACGGAATACAAGGGAAGAGGATTGGTATCCCACGGAATGTCCTAGCCTCCTTAGCTATGGAATCACAGGGACCGGCAATTCTCTCCGCATTCGAAGCCGCCATAGCTACACTCGCTAAGGCGGGTGCTACTATTGTGCAAAATGCGAATTTCACAGCTTGGGAGGAGTTTGCCAAGAGCAAGAGTGTAGTACAGGTTCTTGATGCCGATTTCATCTCCAATATCCAGAGTTATCTCTCTAAGCTGGAGACCAATCCGAATAGCATACACACCCTACAGGACCTCAGCAAATACACACAGAGTGACCCGCGAGAGGATTACCCAAGACGTGACACGGCCCGGTGGGATACGGCACTTGCCGTCGGAATTAACAACACCTCTCCAGAATTCTGGCCAATGTACCAAAATAATCTCCGCATAGGAGGCGAAGGAGGCGTGCTGGGGGCTCTTACGCGCCACAAGCTCGATGCTCTCATTCTTCCTACATCGCTCGCTGCCTACATCCCATCAGTCGTCGGTACACCGGTCATCACAGTCCCGCTTGGAGCATACCCGAATGGGACGGAAACCGTATACAACAAGTTCGGCAATCTGGTTCAGGTTGCCGAGAATATTCCTTTCGGGATAAGCTTTATGGGGGCACACTGGAGTGAGAGGACGCTGATAGGTATGGCTTATGCATTTGAGCAACGAACCCTATTCAGACAGAAGCTCAAGCGCTATATTGAGCCACATACCGAGATTGTGGGGCAACTAGAGGGCGGGGACGATGGAGTGCGTACATAAAGCTACTTTCACATTAGCTTATGGGTCTATCAAGTAAATGACAGTTGATTTAAGCTCTTAAGCTCATTTTAGTTCGAATGCTTTCGTTCGATGCTCCAAGTAAACTCGGAAAAACCACCGAAATCTCAAGATGGTACTACTACCTGAATAGGTTTAGTCTCAGATGGCCGAGATCCGATAAGAGCAGCTGAGAATCTTCGCGCGGGGTTCATCTTCCGCCCTTTTTATTCTGCGATTGAAGGCGGAACTGCCTATGCACTTCTTATAACCCGTTGACCCCTCTATCGCTTAGAAATGGGAGACATCGAAGATACTTGCGCCTCCTTGCGCGCTCAGATCGCCGCCACTGAAGCACAGCTAGCTGGGCTGAAACGCGAACTCGAGAGTGCAGAGCAAGCGGCTATTAAAGCCAGGGCGCAGGACGTCCCAAACCCTTCCGCTACGACCAGCGCCCAAAGTAGTGACAAGAGAAAGTGGCCGCTCTTGGACGAGGAATATCGACGTTATGGAAGACAGATGATTGTGCCGCAGGTGGGGTTACAGGGTGAGTGGATTTCTCGTCAAAACCAAAGTCCCTTGAGGTGCAATTGCTAAAGACTATTGTTCAATGCTGCAGGTCAACTGAAACTTCGATCTGCAAAGGTCTTGATTGTCGGGGCGGGCGGCTTGGGATGTCCGGCTGCGCAGTATCTCGCCGGGGCCGGGGTGGGCACACTGGGGCTTGTGGATGGGGATACGGTGGAATCTTCGAACCTTCATCGGCAGGTGCTCCATCGGACCAAGAATGTCGGAAAGTTTAAGGTGGATAGTGCGATTGAGTCTTTGCGCGAGTGAGTTTTGTCTGTGGACCCGCGTTTCAATGTGGATGCTAACAAGCGACTTGCTCTTAGCTTGAACCCTCACCCGACTTATATAGCGCACCGAGCGCATCTAGCGCCCCAAGATGCGGCGGACATTTTCAAGAACTACGACCTCATCCTCGACTGTACGGATAACCCCGCGACGCGTTATCTGATCTCGGATACGGCGGTTCTGCTTGGGAAGCCGTTGGTTTCGGCTTCTGCTCTGCGGACAGAGGGCCAGCTTATGGTGCTGAATAACCCTCCCCGACCGGTAGGAGATAAGACTGGGGGCCCATGCTATCGATGTGTTTTCCCTCGGCCGCCTCCGGCAAATAGTATCCTGAGCTGTGCGGACGGTGGCATTCTTGGTCCGGTTGTCGGCACAATGGGAGTACTGCAGGCGTTAGAGGCGATCAAGGTGATTACAGCTGCAGACGAGGATGTTAAGCCGCCATCACTACATATCTTTTCGGCCTATTCGTCCCCGTTGTTCCGAACGATTAAACTGCGTTCGCGCCGACCAAATTGCGCGGTGTGCTCTGCGGAGGCTAGCGTGACGTTGGAAACTGTCAAAACAGGGTCGACCGACTATGTTTTCTTCTGTGGAAGTGTCGGCCCAGAGAAGCTGTTGCTCCCGGAAGAGCGCATCTCGCCGCGGGAATATCGGACGAAGCATCCGCTGGCAGACTCCACTGACGCCATCGGAGCAGTCAGCAAGGGACCCACGATCATTGATGTTCGGGAGAAGGTTCAATTCGACATCTGCAGCTTGGAAAATAGTATCAATATCCCCATTTCGTCCATCTTGTCGTCAACGACGAAAGCCGCCCAGAATAACGACGTAGCCAATGGATCGAATCCACTGCCCCCGTGGCTGCCAGCAGATATCGCCTCGTCGGACTCCATCGATCCGATCTATGTTGTGTGTCGACTCGGAAACGACTCCCAGATCGCAGTCAAACGACTGAAGGAGCTGGGCCTGGACCGTGGAGGCGAAAGAGTTGTGGCGGATATCCGGGGTGGATTGCGCGCCTGGCGCGAACAGGTTGACCCCGAGTGGCCAGAATATTAACGACATAACCGTATCTATATGTACATAGCCAGCCAAAACCATACAAAACCGCAAATCGCAAACCTCATGAAACATAACATGCCAATAATCCAGTCATATCATAAACCTCATGAAAAACTCATCTCACAGAAACAGGCGCCTCCTCCAACCAAGCCCAGTCCACACTCACGCGCCCCAGATCCAAATCCGCCAACTTCTTAAAAACCGCCCGACTCACATCCAGATCCTTGACGGCACATCCGGTACCTAACAGCTTATAATTAGTCCCACAGCCACCATTAACCCCAGCGAGGAAAATAGCACCAAAGCAAAGAGGGAAAAAAGAAAAGAAAAGAATACATACACCGATCCACAACCGTAGCATCAACACTCGCCTCCCCCCTCTTCAACCTCACCTTCATCCCACACAGCGGATTCGCATTCGGATTCGACCCCGTTGACGCAGCATCAAAGAGAACATGCGACACCGCGCAGATCAAGTCCGAATTGGAACTGGTTATTCCGCATGAGCCCAGCGCCGGATCGTAGTATGTCAGGTCGCCCGTGTAGGGCCCTCCGTTGGTTGTGGGCAGGGGCAGGTTTTGTTTGCTTTTGAGGTTGAGGCCAGAATCTTAGTATGGCTGGAATTTTGGAGTGAGTGTAGTAGGTCAGAGGGAGTCTTACGAATGCCGGGTTAGACCGACTGCGAGACCGATTATCAGGGCGAGGAGGAGTATGGCGATGGCGATTGCGAGGAGGACAAGGCGTTTTTTCTTTCTGGGGAGTTGGGTCCATTGGGCTGGAGGCCATTTTGGGGTTTGAGGGTGGGGTTTGAGTTGGTCAATTGTTGGTGTTGCTGGCGCTGCTGGTGCTGGTTGTGGTGGTTGTGGTGGTGGAGGCACGGGTTTGCGTTTGGGGACGCCTGTTGGTAGGTGGTCCGGGGTAGACATTCTTAAGGGCTCGATGTTGTATACATCCGGGGTTGGAGGTGGATAGGTGGAATTATAGACAGGCAATGGGTTGTGGGGGAGGGATCGATTGCTTTGTTTCGTTTCATCTTCGGTTGTTTGTTCAGGGGTAAAGGCGACTCTTGGCGGGTTCTTTGGTTTAATTAATGCATGAGTGTTATCGAATTGGGCGCTTGTGTAGCTTTGCATGGGCGTAGTGTTCTGGATGTGTTGTTGGCATGTTTGTGTGCCTGAGAGGATTCATGTGAACTTGGGCATAGGAATGAGTAGCTATATGATTTGTTTCTAGAACCGAGGAAGCTTTATTACCAAATGTCTTGGTTGTGATGATATTCGAGATCTAAACCATAGGGAGCTTATCCTGGTATGGCGTTTAACCAGATTGAGTTTAGAAGGAATATGACGGCGATAGCGACAAGTTACATGGAACGAACATAATTCGATTGATAACTAAGTTAACTAGTTAGTTAGTTAGTTAGTTAACTCCGGTCGGGCTCTGACTAATGTGTTTTAATGCCTGGTTGTTGGTATGATAAATCTATGGAAATTTTACAATCATCAGTCCGATGATGTTTTCTCATAGTACGCCGAGAACCATCTTAATTCTGCCGGGTTATGCTTGACGCCGAACTCCAGATTTTGATATCAGGTGCTTTCCACATGTTCTCGTCAATTCTCCTCTGTATAGTATCTGGTAGTCATAAACATGCACAATGACGCAGATATCGCTCTTCCCCAGACTTCCCGATGTCGCTTTATGTGGGGACAGCATCCTTCCTCACCGTTCACAGAAGAAGAATGTTCTTGGCGCCGATCGTCGTCCGCGGCCTCCTCTCGGCTCAAAGCCTTACTCCATCCCCACGTGGAGTCAACATGAATTTTTTGACTTTCATCCTTGCTCGTTGAAGACCCCTGCTATCCCCGCTCATTCTTTCCAACTGGAACCGGCGACATACCTCTCGCACTGCGCGTTGGACTTGGGATAGTTGCATGGGAAAATCGCTTCACCACAGCCACCCGGTCACGTGCTCCAAAACGGAAGTTGATCCATGAGGGGTTTCTGATCGGCATTCTCATGATCCTAATTGCCGGGAGTTGGAAAGGGAACAGAGAGTGTGTCTAGGAGAGCACGACGCGACTCAACATGTCGCAACGCAGCTCCGAGGATTCGCAATGGGCGCTGCCAGAGGAGCCGGAGGCCAAGGCAGAGAATAAACAAAAGAAAGGCCTTATGACGAAACTGAAATCAGGTTGGAATAGTCTGGACCTGGATATGCCGACTGTTCTCTTGATGATGAAGTAAGAACTCATAATAGCTATCCGGTATATGAGCTAATCATTGTATAGAGGCGCTATTCCACCGACAATTGCCCTGGCGATGTAAGACCTTGGCGAAACAGCTTGTCGATTAGGTGACTAACATCAACCAGGTTTCAGGCCGATTCGGTGGCCTCCAGATTCAATACGGTGGGATACCTCATGGCCATCATATCGGTCCTGGGCTTTTCAATCCAGCCTCGCGCCAAGTTTATCCAGATGGTGGTCCTGGACGTGTTGGCCGTGTGTGTGGCATCCGCTGTTACCCTGCTCATGATGTACTCGTGTGTGAAGGCACGGCAGCACACGGAGGTGGTGTCTAGCGCAGGTGAGAGTATTGTCAACACGCCGTATAACCAGTCGGCGTCGGCTGTTAGCGGTGTCTGGCTGTTCTTTCAAATTTACGTTGTCCATTCGTTTCGGGCCAAGTTCCAGCAGTTCCAGTTTCCGGTTATCATCTACTCGATTGTGGCCAACGTAACTTTCAGTTATGCTCCCCGCATGACGACAATGGCTGCTGCTATATCTACGGTCACGAAATTGCTTGAGACATGCCTGGTAGGCTTGGCCCTGGCTACTGGCGTATGCCTATTTATCTATCCCGTCACTTCGCGGACGGTAGTGTTCAAGCAGATGGCCGGCTATGTGGGATGCCTGCGCGGGGCTCTTCAAGCTCATACAGTCTACTTCGAGTCTCTGGAAGAGAGTGACATGTTTGGTAGAGCAGAAACATATGATTCCAAGGTAGAAAAAATCACCAAGGACGGCAAGGTGTACAGTCCAGAGGCGCAAGCCATCCGGACAGCAGTGCAGAAAATCACCGAGATTCATGGTAAGCTTCACGGGGATTTGACCTTCGCCAAGCGTGAGGTCGCGTTCGGCAATCTCGGGCCCGATGATCTTCAAGCGATTTTTCGAAACCTTCGACAAGTCATGATCCCTGTCGTGGGTTTGAGCTTTACGGTGGACTTGTTCCAGCGCCTCTCTGAATATAATAAATGGAATGCGCCCCTCGATCCCACGGCGACTGATATACCGGATCTGGTACGTCATCGCGTGGTCCAAGAATGGAACGATATCATGCGGGCGGTGCATGACCCGTTCAAGTCTATGATCCAGGCGATAGACGAGGGTCTCCAGCATATCACATTTGTGCTCAAACTGGCAAAGCCACCGAAGAAGAATGCTACTGCTACAAATGGTGAGACGTCATCGAGTGGTGTGGAAGATGTTGAGGCTTCGGCGGTACCGTCTCCGGGCGACGAAAAGTTCGCAGCCCATCTTGAACAGAGACTTCGTGACTTCAAGGTTGCTAAGCGGATTGCCCTTCGAACGTGGAGTGAAGAAAAGGGAATTAAACTGCCGAAAGACTTTTTCGATCGCCCTACGGATGACATGGAAGACATCAGCTATGGCAATCCATTCATTGGCCGAGAGCGGAGTCAGCGACAGCTGTACTTGTTCCTCTATGTAAGTGCCTTGCTCCTAGTGCCTCTTGGTTGTTACCAGATGCTGACAATGACTAGATGGAGCAGCTGCTCAGCTCAACCGGCCAGACGGTACTTGACTTTGTAAAGTTCGCGGACGACAAACGTGAAAGTGGAAAGCTTTCAAGACGCCACCTGATTATACCGGGCTGGAAGCGTTTGCGAAAATGGGCCACAAGTTTACTCAAGGCGGAAGACACACACGAAAATGATAACCTGGGCGACATCAACGCTCAGAATAATATTCTTCAGTTGGGTGAAGCTTACAAACGGAAGAAGGACCCAGAGCACCTGCGGCCTGAGACCACTTTTCAAAAAATAGGTGATAAGGTCAGGCTCATTCCTGCGATGTTCCGCACTCAAGAGTCGGCGTACGGTTTCCGGGTTGCGTGCGCCACGATGACCATCGCCATTGTTGGCCTCCTTCACGATACCCAGGGCTTCTTCATTAAGCAACGCTTTATTTGGGCCATGATCATGGTTAATCTCAGCATGAGCCCTACCTCTGGACAGAGTATATTCGGCTTTGTGCTCCGTATACTTGGCACTGTATTGGCCATGGTTCTCAGCTTTTTAAGCTGGTACATCCCCGGGAAACAGACACCCGGAATTATTGTTTTCTTCTTCATATTTTTATCGTGCGTTTTCTATGTGCCAATCAAGCTATTCCGCTTCCGAATCATTGGCATCATCACTATTATCTCAACGTCTATGATAGTTGGATATGAACTCCAGGTTCGCAAAGTCGGTGAGCAAGTCGCAACCTCGAACGGCCAGTCATACTACCCCATCTATCTCCTTGCGCCCTATCGATTGGCAACGGTGACCGGTGGCATTGCCGTGGCGTTTTTCTGGACATTCTTTCCGTATCCTATTTCGGAACACTCCGTGCTGCGTCAAAGCCTGGGTGCCTCTTTGTACCTTCTGGCCAATTACTACTCGCTCATCCACGAGACCGTGTCGGCACGAGTGCGCGGTGAGGTAGGTGATATGGCGCTCAAGACGTCGGCGGGGCGCAAGCTTTTGAAGTCCCGTAACCAGGTGTTTTCCAAGCAGATGTTGATGTTGAATAACCTCCGAACCTACTCCGAGTTCCTCAAATGGGAGGTGCCGATTGGTGGCCGATTCCCCAAGAAGCAGTACGATTCCATTATAGCATGTATCGAAAAGTAGGCATTACTCATTCCTTCAATATTGCCCCGTGAGCTAACCCTTCCATAGCATCGTGAGTTACCTGAGTCTTCTGGGATATGCTTCAGACACGCTGTTGCATATGGGTGATGATGAAGAATCCAACTCTGTCTGGCTGCATGATTTTAAACGGCTGGTTGCCAGTGCAGGCGTCACGAGCCATGAGATCACCACAGTGCTATGCCTTCTCTCTGCCAGTATCACCGATCAGAGGCCTCTTCCCCCTTACTTAAAGACACCCAGACCGTACAGCTTTACCAAAAGGCTCGAAGCAATGGACAAGGATATTCTAAGTCTGAAACATATCGCGGAGCCAGGTTTTGCTACCTTTGCAGTTTTGCAAATCTCCACACGATGTATAGGTGGTGACGTGGAGAGACTTATGAAGTGAGTGAAGCCGCCCGCGTTGCAGTGATACAGCGACTAATTCGGAGCAGGGACGTGAAGAAGTTGGTTGGAGAACTCGATTTCTCATTCCATGCGGTTAGCACAGTGCAGAGTGCAAGGTCGTCTGCTGAGATGTCGCGCTTTTCGCGCGCGCCCGAGCGGGACAAGCTCGAGTAGCTGGCAAAGGACCGACAATAGAGTAAATATAGAGAGCGATTGTATTGTTTTAATCATCAAGCGATGCCCTGATGATCTACTATCTTCAGCCATTGAACACGGGCGCAACTGCCATCGACGTGGACAATGCCTATCTACGACTTCAAGAATAAGAATCCAAGATTGATCTTTCATATAATACAAGAACATGATTCATTTACGTCGACTTTGACGGAGTATCGAACGAGATAGACATAACATGCAGTACATAAAGGCCATTCAATGGGGCGTATAACTCGCTCAGCATGGCTCATTCGATTTTGAACTGAACGGCGTTCGACTCGAAATCACCCCGGTTTGCGTCTGAAAGCTGTTCAAGTTTGTCATGGACGTCACTCACAGGAGTTTCCCACACCGCATGCCACCTCCCATGGGCACGGATCGAGAAGTCATGTCCAGACTGGAGAGGCATAGGGGGGAGAGTCACAACGGTGTCAACCGTGCTCTCTGGAGCGATTTCAAGCAAGTCATCTGCGGAGGGAGGGAGCTTGCGGGAGATCTTGATGGTGTCAAGGGGGACAGCCTGGCCATCTGTTTCATCCTGCACTTGGAAAACCCCGAGGATGCCGGCTTTTGGGTCGAACGGAGTACCCCATTTGAGCATCGTCACTGGCTCATTGGAAGGGTTTTGGATAGATGCTTTGACAGACACAGCCGTCTGCTGGGACGACGCTTGGTCGATTGAAACCAGCTGCGGCGCGAGAAGGACTTGGAGAGCTACAGCTGCGCCCATCATTATTGAGGAGATGAAGGATTCAGTGGGAACAAATTAGGGGAGCAGGGAGAGGGTGACGTGGAGAAAGTGCAGGGAAGACAGCGGCATTTCACAGCCGGGAAGTTATACTGCAGGCAGCCATTCGCCACCTGCGCAAAAGCCAGCCTCGCATCTGTTTCAACTAAATGTCGTCACGGCACTCGCAATGAAACCCAAGCTGCGCGATCGGCGATTTATTTTACTCCCGCGCCAATGATCGGAAGTGAAACCACGAGCCAAGCCTGCGTGGCGTGGTGTAGGTATGAGGGGTATTCTCATGACTAGGGGAAGGAAACTCCCTGCATCCGAGGCTGCAGGGCTTCTGCCTGGCAATTTATTTGCAATCTGTTAGAAACTCTTGGGTAGCATCCTCGGTGAATCATCTGTGGGGTGGACTGTGCGCTAAGCATCTGGGCGTTGCTTATCCCGAGGCCAAGAAATAACTCGACTAACACCATCTTGATGTGTATCCTCACTCGATATACCGGTGATTCACTACTTTCTCAGGTTGAAGATCTTCACCGCGACAGGAACATGGCTCGAGAGCCGGACAATAGCCAAGACTCGGGAGACCGGCGGCATAGTGACTGGTCTGCTGAGACCAGATCCAACGGCCCCATCCTTATCGGTGGAGGCGAGCAGATCATATACTGAAACAGACAAAACACTGTCTTCCGGCCTCCGCCGGGCCAAGTCACCGAAATCAGCTTAGGACGAAAGAAAGAAGCCTTCACTTGTGATCTTGTTTCTCTATCTTGAAGATGTGAGGACCAGTTTTACCTTCGCCAAGAGATCCGTGATATTAAACAATGCAGCTTCGGATACTACCTTCTCTTTACAGCGAGAAATGCCGGAGCTATGCCCGAGACGAGGCTTGGAGAAGTGTATAATGACTATTATGAGGGCCATCAGAGAAGAAGAACCCGAGGCTATAAAAGCCCTTGTTATCCAGCAGCTCTTCACTTAGGATTCAAGGCGATTTGAGACAACCTTGTTCAGTATCTTCCACATTTCAACTTTCTTTCTACAGCTCCTCGTTCCAAAACCACCAGAATGCGTGTCACTGCTCTCTCTACCGCAATCTTCGCGTTGGCTTCCACTGCTGTGGCGGCGCCAACCGCTGGGAGCTCGTCTCCTGGTCTTGAAGTCAAGCTGACCCAGATCGACAACACTCGCGTGAAGGCGGTTGTCAAGAACACCGGCAGCGAGGCTGTGTCCTTCGTCCACCTGAACTTCTTCAAGGACGCTGGCCCTGTCAAGAAGGTTTCCATCTACCGTGGCCGTACGTTTTCCTTGACCACCTATCGGGCATGAATGCCAATAACGCTTACTAACATTCCTCCAGAGGATGAGGTCCAGTTCGAGGGTATCCAGCGCCGCCTGAAGAGCAGTGGCCTCACTAAGGACGCTGTCACTTCTCTCGCTGCCGGTGAGACCCTGGAAGATGAGTTCGATATCGCCTCCACCAGCGATCTGGCTACCGGCGGCCCGGTTTCCATCCGCAGCCACGGATTCGTTCCCATTGTCGTGGACGGCAAGATCACCGGCTACATCCCCTACAAGTCCAACGACTTGACCGTCAATGTTGACGGTGGCAAGGCCGCCAAGGTCGTCAAGGCGCTGTCGCAGCTCGCTCGCCGCACCAAGGTCACCGACTGCCAGGGTGATGCCGAGTCTGCGTTGACCACTGCCCTGTCCAACGCCGCCAAGCTGGCTAACCAGGCTGCCGAAGCCGCCGAGTCTGGTGATGCCTCCAAGTTTGAGGAGTACTTCAAGACCACCGACCAACAGACCCGCACAACCGTTGCTGAGCGCCTGCGTGCTGTCGCTAAGGAGGCAAGCTCCACCTCCGGCGGCTCTACCACGTACCACTGCAGCGACCCCTACGGCTACTGTGAGCCGAACGTTCTGGCTTACACCCTGCCCTCAAAGAACGAGATCGCTAACTGCGATATCTACTACTCTGAGCTTCCTCCCCTGGCTCAGAAGTGCCACGCCCAGGACCAGGCCACCACCACTCTTCACGAGTTCACTCACGCCCCTGGCGTCTACCAGCCCGGCACGGATGACTTGGGCTACGGCTATGACGCCGCTACTCAGCTGAGCGCACAGGATGCGTTGAACAACGCTGACTCTTATGCCTTGTACGCGAATGGTAAGCATGTCCCGACGATATGAATTGCTGCGAACAGTTGCTGACTGATAATAGCCATCGAGCTCAAGTGTTAAATGCGGAATGATACTTCATATACTCTGCTACGCAGAGGCTGTACATAATCCTATATTATAGGTTAGAGTGGCGTGTCTGTGACATGCACGTTTGAAATGATAGCTTATTATGATTATATCTCAATGTCCTATGTTTGATCAATCATCGCCTTCGTTAATGCATTGACTTGAGGGGATTATCGACTCGCATAGTATGTCTCCGACAAGACGGATGAAAGTTAGACAGTAAATGCGAATAAAGGCTATTTTTTATGTCTATCCCCACCTTGACCCAGCTACTCCCATCTATCGTAATCCGGAATAATCTCCTCAAAGTACCTCTCCGTAACACTTCTGAACCCAACCTCAGGCGCCCCAACAGACCACGGCCTTCCATTCCCACTAGCAAAAAGGGAAAAACTGGCCCCTTCAAAGACAAACCAGCCCGGCGGTGCAAAAGCCAACCACTTCGACTCAATAGATGCCAGCCAATGCACCCGCGAGTCGCCCACACTGTACCCAAAATGATAATGCAGCGGCTCAGCTCGAATATGCAGCACAACACAATCCCTCCCCGATGCATCGAGCGTCACCTCATTATACTGTCTCAATCAGCACCGCACCCACCATTAGCTAACGGGACCATTCATACCTCAACCGTCGTGTTCCTCAAAAGCTGCGTGTAAACACACATACCAGTCCCATCCACACACCCCCGAACCCCGAGATCCTGGTGCTGAAACTCACTTAAATAAACGCTTATCCCCACCGTCTCCCCCCTCCGCAGATCAGACATGATGGGAAGCAACTCCGCGCTAAACGTCATATTTAACGACGTCTGCTTCCGCAGAATAGCCGCCGGGACATCCCTCTCGCTGAGGGAGTACACGTTCGGTCGAAAGACTACACCCCGCTGATCCTGGAGCACAACGTTCTCCGTGTACGGTGTCCGAAGCTGGTACCACCCGTTCCCAAGAACAGATCCGTCGAATCGATCAACCCAGGTCTCTTGGGGGTTGCTTTGGTCAACCACGCCACCGAAGGATTCGCTCAGGAGAGCTGGTCGCCCATCGTTGATGACAGGCCACCCGTCCTTCCAGGTTACAGGAGAGAGGAAGGTCTCCCGCCCTAACGGTGACGACCCGTTGACCTTCCTCCGGGCTATGTACACAGCATACGAGTCCCCGTCGGCGGTATCGAAAATAGTAGCATGCCCCGTCGACTGCACGGTCAGGTTATCGAATCCATACGCTCCGTTAAATAGAAGCGGGTTTTCCGGGTTCGGCGTCCATGGACCCTGCGGCGATCGTGATCGTGCGATGCTCGCGCGGTGGAGATCGTCTGTTCCGCCTATTCATACATTATACTCTATAATCAGCATATACCCATTCACAGCACATACCCATCCCAACACCCTCTCCAAACTCAATCCAGGGAAAATTAGCAGAAAGGTACATAGTGGAAGAAAAGAAGAAATACCCTCAGCAATAAGCAAATAATACCAACCCCCCCTCATAAACATCTTCGGGCCCTCCGGCCTGGCACTAGCATCATGTGGCATCGTCCCGTTCCACAAGGACCGGTACTCATCTACACAATCCCCAGTGCGAAGATTGACTTGGCATTGATAAATGCCCCAGATCCCGGTTTCCTTGCTATCCGGCGCCATCAGGTTCAGATAGACATCACCGGAGACAGGGTCCTGGAACAAAGACGGGTCGATGCCCCATGGCTCGGCCCAGACGGGGTCACTCCAGGTTTCTAGATCGGGGGACGAGATCCATGTGATGCGCGGCCAGACTTTGGCGATCGGGTCGTAGGTCCAGCGCGTCATACTGGCTATGTAGAAGGTGCTGTTTATGTGGGATAGGGTTGGGGCCCAGGTTCCTTTTGTTTTTCGCGTTAGGGTTAGTGTTTGGGATGGTGTGGGATGGGTGGCTTACCGCCTCCTGTTGGGGTCCCGTAGAGGGCTAGTTGGGATGGTCTTGTTAGGGCGTGCGAGTGGAGGGTCCAGTTGGCTAGGTCTGTGGATTTGTAGATGGGGAGGCCGGGGAAGTACTCGAAGGAGGATGTTGTGAGGTAGTATTCGTTGTTGAGGCGCAGGATGGAGGGATCGGGGTTCCAGCCTGGGAGGATTGGGTTCTTGATTGCGGTTATGGGGAGGATGAGGGTTAGGAGAGTGGATAGCTTGAGTAGGGCGGTCATGTTTGTGGTTGGGGTGGTTGGCGAATGTATGGATGTTGTCGTTGGCCTTTTGGGTGTGGGCCTTGGGTGTGTTTTATGCTGTTGGACTGAGCGGGTGAGGTCCGGGAGATCCTCCGAGGTTCCATGCTAGTAGAGAGTAGGTCTAAAGTGAGCAAATAGTATCTCTATATTTTTTATTTCTAGGGTTGCTTTCTCTTTTACTTGTAGTTACACTATAGGGTTGCTCATGGTCAGGAGTATGTACCTGGATACGTCCAATGGGTTGATCTAATTGCTTAATGGAGGAGCATGACGGGGAATATATTATTGGAGGAGGATCATATTAAAATATACGAATGAATAAAGGCAGTCTCGCTTCTTCTGACATAAATAACTCGTATATAATTGGTAAGCGTCTTGGCTGATCGAGGGCCCCGGAGGCGGATGATAAGAAGACTGTCTGACTGATGTTGGAGATGTGAAGCTATTGGCTTTCCAGCCCATCTCGGGACCGGGGTGAGCCATGATAGTTCGCATGAGAGCTTGGAAACTCGGCGATAGATGAATCTTATGAAAAGGTGGAGTAGAGACATCCGATGATCCCGTCGGGGTCCCAAATAGGAACTTGTAGTATGTAACCCTACGCTGGGAAAAGCGACCCAAAATTATGATGCCTAATGGGCCATCTTACATAAAGAGACTCACTCATAGGAAAAGCTAACTCATCTCCATAAACTCACCCCAACCGGGAATCTCAGAAACCACAACCGAAATGCCCACTCGACCAACAATCTCCATCTTCCCTGCATCCCCAGAAGATGCGCCCTCACTAACTCGCGTCCACGGCGATGCATTCCGAGACTGCATACTCAACGACCTCATGTTTGGTCCTCCGACAGAGGAGAACCTGAAGGGGTTCGCAGACGAGCTGGCGGAACTCATCACCGGCGATATAACGGCAAGATTCGTGAAAGCCGTCGACAACGACACGAATAAGATTGTAGGCTGGAGCTGGTGGAATTTGTATCCTGATCGCGAGTTGCGATCGGGAGGCTCGCAAGCTCTCTCAGAGGAGCTTGGTGCCCCGCCTGAGTCTGCTATCAGTCCTGAGGCGCATAAGGAGTATTTCCAGGGGGCGGCCGCGAGACAGGAGAAATGGATTGGTGGGCGGCCTTTTGCTTGTGAGTTTACTCTTTCTTCTTTTTCATGGATATTGTGTTATTTCATCTGCTGGAAGGGTTTCAAGAAATCTACATTTATGCGCTGACACTTTGACTGCAGTTCTAAGAGTCCTTGTCGTTCTCCCAGAGTACCAGAGGAAGGGGATTGGTGCGAATCTTATCGCAAGGGGGCTGGAAGAGGCTACAACTTGTAACCTGCCGGTCTGGTTGGAATCTTCAGAAGTGGGCTATGATTTATACAAGAAGCTGGGCTTCAAGGATCTCAACGATAGCATTGTTATTGACTTGGCCAAGTACGGAGCGTCGGGTATATCGACTACGGCGTGTATGTGGTTGGAGACTGGGAACCATTGAACAGAAGCTGCATTGGTGTATCTGGTATGGTGGTGAATCATTTTGAATCATTTTAAAGCCGAGTTATAGGCAGCGTAAGCCGTCATCCTCTTTGTATCAAATTTCGTGGCTATGTCAAACTATATACAGCTATGGGAAGAATAGCAGTTGTGGTATAAGAAGCTGAGAGCAAACCAAAACGCGACGGAAAGGATAAAAGAGAATGAAAAGATTGCAGCCATCATACATCTAACCTCAAGTCAATGCACATTAAAATCGTCAAACTTAGTGGGAGTATCACTAAGTAGCCCTGAGATCGACCGCCTGGTCTAGTCATAAGGGTGGACTTTTGATGTAACTATCAACATAGGACATCCCGAAGGGTGGCATGTTTGTGAATCATCTCCATCATTTGCGTCTGGTTGAGCGGCTTGGGAAGATAGTCGTCCATGCCCGCCGATATGCACTTTTCCCGGTCACCGAACATAGCATGAGCCGTGAGGGCGATGATTGGGGTGTGCGGAAGTGTATGGACCTTCTCGTAGTCTCGGATTCTAAGAGTCGATTCAAACCCACCCATGACCGGCATTTGCACGTCCATCAATATTACATCGTACTGCTTGTGGCGAAACTCATCCAGGGCCTCTTGTCCGTTCGAGACGACTGTCACGTTGTGGTGATACCTCTGCATTACTTTGAGAGCTACCTTCTGGTTGACCTCGTTGTCCTCAGCAAGTAAAATGGCCAAAGGGCGCGTTTCATCCGACGAACGGCGAGAAGGGCGACCTTCCAGCGCGGGAAGGATACCGTTTACTAGTTCAATCGGACTACAGGGCGTTGTCACATAGGATGTGATGCCCAGATCTAAAGCAGATTTCATGGCCACTGACACCACGGGACAGACTAGCACGGCAGGGAGAGTCTTGAACCGGTCGAAATCTCGTAGCTGGGATACCGAGTCCATGGTTGGAGCGATCAAGACATCGTATTGCCGACGAACATCTTTACCGTGCTGAGCAACGGTTTCTGTTGGTGGAGCGCCATCCTCAAGCTTCACGACATCCACATGAAGGCCCATTTGTTGCAGTCTTTGTTGAATCCTTTTTGATTCTTCGTTGCAATGATCATTAGCTTTCTCGACAAACAAGACCCGACAGCCCTTGTATGGTATGACATATTTGGCAATGTCCTTGACAGGGGGATCTAAGGATGTAAAGGCGCAGGTGAAGTGGAAGGTACTCCCGACACCCACGGCCGAGGTGACCCATATATCTCCTCCCATGAGATTCACCAGTTTCTTCGATATTGACAAGCCCAGACCAGTGCCACCGAACTTTCGTGTCATGGAGCCATCGGCCTGCTGAAACTTGTCGAATATCAAATCCAGTTTGCTCTTGTCAATGCCAATTCCAGTATCCGAGACCGAGAACTCGAGTAAATACTTGCCCGGAGGGCAGGTTGGTGCCGCCTCCTTGATCGTAAGCCGGATTTGCCCCGTCTCGGTGAATTTGATCGCATTCCCGATGAGGTTCAGAATAATCTGCCTTAGACGGAAGGCATCGCCGATCACATAGTCTCGCACTGAGTTGTTTATGTGGTATGTAAGATGGAGGCTTCTCTCACTGGCTTCAACGGCAAGGATTTTGAGAGCCTTGAAAACGGTCTGTCCCAAGCTGAACGGAACAGACTCGATCTTCATGTGGTTGGCTTCTATTTTCGAAATATCGAGAATATCGTCGATAATCACCAAAAGGCTATTTCCCAGGTTATGGACCACGTTCAGCATTTCTCGAGTTGGCGGAGGCAAATCGTCGGTATCAAGGGCCAGTTGAGTCATGCCAATAATTCCGTTCATGGGCGTCCTAATCTCATGGCTCATATTGGCTAAGAACTCTGACTTACTTTGGTTGGCAAGTTCGGCAGCCTCTCTAGCTGCAGTGTTCCTCTGGATGCTGTCGCGTAGGTTGGATATCATTTTGTTAATCTTTTGTTTTAGCTCGTCCATTTCGCCGGAGGCGCTGACAGTGATCAGTTTGCTAAAGTCGCCATCAGTGGCTGCATTGGTGATTTGTCCAAAGGCCCGGACCTGCGACGTGAGATTGTCTGCCATCATGTTGACGTTGTCTGTCAGGGCTTTCCACTCTCCTTCAACGTTGGCAACAACAGCCTGCCCACCAAGGGTTCCATCGACGCCAACTTCACGGGCAACTTTGCAAACTTCAGAGGCAAACTGGTTCAGCTGACCGACCATCCCGTTGATAGTATCCTTGAGGCTTAAGATTTCCCCATTCACGTTGGCAGTGATGCGTTTGCTGAGATCACCACGAGCTACAGCCGTGGTCACATCCGCAATTTCTCTGACTTGGTTTGTGAGATTCATTGCCATCCTGTTAACACTTTCAGTTAGATCCTTCCAGACACCCTCGACTCCGTGGACGGTCGCCTGGCCTCCTAAAACGCCATCCGTCCCCACTTCTCTGGCAATCTTTGTCACCTCCTGAGCGAACTGGCGGAGCTGGTCGACCATTGAGTTGATAATATTCTTTAGAGCCAGTATCTCTCCTTTACAGTCTGCCCGAACCTTTTGAGTAAGATCGCCATTTGCAACGGCAGTGGTCACGGTTGCAATGTCCCTGACCTGCATAGTCAGATTGTTGGCCATGGCATTGACGTTCGTTGTAAGCTCATTCCACATTCCTTGAGTACCATATACCCGCGCTTGCCCACCAAGAACCCCTTCAATGCCCACATCTCGGGCGACACGAATAACCTCAGTGGCAAACGTACGGAGCTGGTCTACCATCGTGTTAAAAGTATTCTGTAGCAGAAAAATTTCACCCTTGGCAGGCCGTTCGATCTTCTGGCTCAGGTCCCCGTGGGCCACCGCCGTGGTGACCGCTGCAATCTCTCGAACCTGGTTCGTCAGGTTCAGCGCCATGGTGTTGACATTATCGGTCACTTCTCTCCATACGCCGTGCATCCCAGATACCTGAGCCTGGCCACCGAGAATACCCTCGGTCCCCACTTCCCATGCTACTCTTGAGACCTCACTGGCGAAAACCCGCAGCTGATCAAGCATGGCATTCATTGTGACCTTGAAGGTGATGATATCCGAGTCCATCTCCAACGGGTGAATCGGGACTTTGGTGGATAGGTCTCCATTGGCAACTTTGGTAATGACCTTTGCGATCTCTTGTAAGGCTGTTTGAAACGCTTTATTCATCTGCTGATGTTTCCGAAGATCCACCTCGTGGTCGGGATGCTTGTTTGCTGCGCGGTGGCGTAGCAGTTCACGGAAAACGCTCGAAACGACTTCCCGTGGCAACTTGATTTCGTCTTTCTGTTCATCGAGAGCCCGTTTTACAAGAGAATAGTGATCATCATTTGCGAACCCATACTCAGGGTTATGATCCACTTGACGACTGGCGGGGATGTCATCTAGCCTAAAACCCTGCTTAGCCTTGTGATGTGGCAATCTGGTTGAAATAAACATGCACATACCATGCAAACTTCCGCTTTCGGGTCTGAGAACTTATGATCATCTCAGTATGCTGCCCACACAGTGTGGATTGGGGGAGGTATCCATTCTCTGAATGAGGTGGCGATATGTCACCCTCTGCTGTACTGTTTTGAAGAAACTGAATATGGCCTATGAAGACCTGCAGCTGTCTCTCAAACGCTACCTTTGCATCGCTTGGCTCCCCTGGTAACTGAATGAGCAAAGGGTACAATTCCTCCGTTGGGGAGTCCAATGGTTGACAAGGACTTGAATCATAAATGCCAGATGGTAAGGCACATTCTAAACCGGCAGCTGCAGCCCTGAAGGCTTGCTCAACCGCTGCCATGGTCTTCGACTTGGGGTTAGACCGCTAATGACGGGTCTTGTTGTATTTAGACTGGAGTACACTTTCCATGCATTGTCAAGACAATGCTATAATTAAACAGGGCGGGTGCGAAAATCTATGTCTGCTTGAACCAACTTGAAAAACTGTTGTGAAGTCAGATGCACTCCCTACGGTCAGCAGGTCAGCCTTCTGGAGATCGACAATAGCGACTACAACAGAATAAACATTAATTTAGCGAAAGCCCCCATATATTCATCATGAGATGAGGTGTAGCGATTTGCCTCGGGGGCGACAGGAAGAGGACCCTAAAGACTAGGGGTACCATGGAAAGGGCCTAGTGAAAGCTTCGCAGCCAAGGGCGAGGGCGGACTTTCAGAGAAATCATAAACACAAACACGAGGTGATTGGCTTAAAGGCAATCGGAATCTTTAGCCCTACATTTCCATAGCAGGGAGAAAGGCCGTAGAGGCTAGACCGAGGGCATTATTGAGGTGATGAGGAAGAGGGCTTGACGTTCTCTGGTTCATAGCCGCAGTGTTAGGCACATGATTGGCCAAGCCCCAGACCCTTGGAATGGAAACAGTCATTGACCACCCCATGGTCCCCTAAAACTCTCGATTATCGTGATCCATAGCAAGGGTTGAACTGGCCACAGGGCCTTTCTCCCTCCGCCGGTTCTAGAACCTGGTCATCACCCCATCCCCGCCTTCGCCCGGACCGTTGATGACCTCATTGCGCCTCCCATGCGGCCGACAATGGTATTTATTCAACTAGCGTAGCCTTTGTGGCTTCTAAAGGATTTTTCTGGGCCGTCGGAACTGCAATCTGTCCTATGTTTCTTTACTCCTCGTTGCTGTGGAATCCATGGGATATTGCTGGACCGAGAACCTACGAAGATGATTCTTGAGTTTATTATCCAGATTCGATACAGTAATTCCATGGCCTCGGAAACCCTAGACTTGTGACCTCCCCATGGGGGACTATAGGTATCCTGGGGATGGCTACCACCCAATTGAGATCGCCAGATAATCCAAGCATCGGGCTTACATATTCTCAATCGAGGATAATTTGCGTCGGCCCCTCTAGGTTCTTTGAGGATTTACCCGAAGCTAACATCCAACCGGATGAAGAATCCGAGATGCCTCCTCCTGGCCCGTGGCGTCACTAGGCTTCTTTTCACTGGCGTTTGAGCACTGGCTCGGAAATAGACGTCGAAGCCGTAATAACTCCAATGCAGCTAGTTGATTCACAGTGCGCCCATAAAGTATGTAAATGGAATTCCCAAGTCTGCATTAGCGCCTGCAAGACAAATCCTCATTCTTCTATTGACCACTTAACGCACTCCATTGAGACATGTCACAAGAACTGGCCTACACACCACCAAATATTAGTTAGTGTTTGTGATAGGTGATTAGCTAATTTGATAAGAGGGCGTCAACATATTGGGTTTATCATCAGGTCTACTTTTCTTCTCTCACGGACAATGGTTTTGGGGCTGTTATTGTGAGAGAGCGTCTATTGGGCCCCTCGCATCTAGACACGCCTACTTTCCCCGAAGAGGCAACCACTGCTTTAACCTTAAAAATTCTTTTCCTGCTCCCTTGATTGTCGCTGGAGCTCGCTTAACCAGCTGTCTGCATTCCTGCAGCTTTGACAAAAAACGCTTGCCTCACCAATGGACATTTCTTGCTCTCTGGCATGAAGTTTGTTGCCAAGTGCTATGGCGTTTTGACCTCGGATGTGGATCTTCTGTGACATTTCCGAAAAAGAAATGAAAATGAACTTTCAGTATGCGAGCGCATGAGACATACTAGCTAAGCGCCTGGACTATTAACCCTCCTAAAGAATTACGGTCTAGACCCATTTAGTCCTCCTGGCTTCTTATGCTCTTAATGCAGTTAGAGCGTCTGTCCCTCGTTTCTGGTGAACACTGATTGTTTTGGCGGCGCGTCGTCTTCACCTTACCCCTTGCTTTAGGCAGATGTGACACCTTGCCTCTGAGCTCCTCGAGCAATGCTTTTCTCAGATCCCTGAAAAATACCGGGAAATTGGATATGCCGTTCTTAGATCAGACCTGGGAGCCCATCTCGAGCCAGTGCCGAATATACTTGGGCAAAAGAGCCCGTATCGTCGGAAAATAAAGAAGATTGGGGCTCCTCCTGAGCGCATTCCGCAAGTTCTCTGTACCAACGACTGGCATTTTTGCCTGCAGCTCCCAGCGTGTCTTGTTATCCAGAATGGCTTCTTCCAACATCGGCATGAGTGGCTTCAAGGGGTGTTGAGTCTCTGCATAAGTTCGAGACTGGCATTTTTCCACCCACTCGTTGTATGGAACCTCGACCAAGGAGCCTGCTGGAAGGGCTGCGCTTATGCCCTCAAAAATCTCCAGGAGGGAGATCATTGCATCCCCGTGATGATCGACAAGGTTGTAAGCTTGACCGAAGGACTGCTCGGACGATGCGATGTGTAAGAGCGCTAACACAACAAAGTCTACCGACACGAAGGCATCGTGGTGGTCGGTGAGTGCAGGATAACAGCCTATGCCCACACAGCTAGGGACTACGCGACTGAAGAAATCCTCGGAATTCACAGTTCCTGTTTGGCTGTGACCAAGGACAAAACCAGGCCGGTGAATGGTCACGGCTAGACCGTTGTCGATAGCATTCCATGCAATAACCTCGGCAACGGATTTACTTTGCGAATATCCTGTGTCGTACTTCAAAGCCGCAAGATGGGATTTTGGATTCTCATCTTCCGGGATGTATGTCGTCCCAGTCAACAGTCCCGTGGGGCCATATACAGAGGTGCTCGAAACATAATGGAGAGCCTTTGGGCGCTTCGTATTTGCGAATCTAATCATGTTCAACAACCCTATGACATTCGTCTGCCGGTGAGGCTCGTAGGGCTCGATCCAATTCACGCGGGCTCCTAGGTGGAAGATGATGCTCGTCCACTCTGCGAGATAATCAAATGTTTCGCGATCGAGGTTTAGATATTCCTTGGAAAAGTCTCCTGGAATGGCCCAGATCTTGTCCATGTGACAGGGTCGAAGCCCGTACCGATCGAAGGCCTTGACGATGCGCTTAATGGCTTCTAGCTCATCTGTTGCACGCACCAAGCATGCCACTCGCTGAACATCTGACCGAAGGAGAAGCTCCTTTAACAAGAAGATACCGATGAACCCCGTTGCGCCGGTGAGGAAAACGCGCCCTTCGCTTTCAATTGTCCAGTCCACTATATCGCCAGGAACTGGCCGCAAATCTTTCCCCAGATTCAGGTCTGGCTGCCAAAGAGTTTCGTTCTTATCCGTCCACTCTTCGCCTTTCTGCAGCGACTCAATAAGGCTCATGAGTTCTAGTTGAGTTGGGTGTTCATATACCATCGCTATCCGTAGCTGAATACCAAGGTCTTCCTTCACGCGAGATACTAGGCGGGCCGCGTGTAAGGAGGAACCACCCATTACAAAGAAGTTGTCGTCTGGTCCTATTTGCGACCCAAACACATCCACCACAATTTGTTGAATCGGCGATAGCGGCTCATACAATGTGGATGTCGCGCTCTGCCCTATGTTCTTAGAGTATCGCTCAGCCAGCTTCCCACGATCAATCTTATGCGTATTGGTCAGTGGCAAATGGTCTATTACTTCCAAACGCGGCAGCATGGGATAAGGTGCGTTTCTTGTATAGGCCTGCCTGATAGTCAATGGATTCGTATCCTCAGAATTGGGTACCACGCACGCTAGCAAAAGCGACTCGGCGTCACTGTTACTATCTACGTCTATCTTTACGGCTGCCGCCGCTGAAACCAACCCTGTCGCCATCAGAATGGCCTCGACTGCTTCAAGTTCGATACGATGACCTCGTATTTTGACTTGGTTGTCACGTCGACCTACAAATTCGAGCAACCCGGTTGGATTCCACCGTCCAAGATCCCCTGTTCGATACACCTGTCGATTGGGACAGAAGTGTCTTAGCTGGATGAATGCATTGCCGGGCTTTTCGGACTCGCTGAGATATCCTGCTGCGACTCCTTTGCCACCGATTACCAATTCCCCAACTTCTCCATGCGGTACGACGTCAAGGCTGTCATCCACTACTATGACCTCGTATCCATCTATCGGCTTTCCGATAGGAATGTTACCCCTCTCTACATCTTCTATTGAGATATCATGGAATGTCGAGAACATAGTACACTCAGTCGGGCCGTAAAGATTGAATAGCCGCTTTGGTGGACCATACTCTAGTACTTTCCGCGCCAGCTGGGCAGTCACCACCTCTCCACCAGTAAGAAGCGTGTCAACCGTGATGTACGCTTGTGGGTAGGTGTTGATCGTTGCAGCCAATAGTGCTGGGGTTTGCCAGAGTACATCGATCTTATCTTCCCGTATACGTTTCACTAATCTAGCGGGATCAAGCACCGTGTCACGATCTAGCACTACTGCCGTAGCACCGCGAAGAAAAGATCCAAGTGTCTCCATGATAGACACATCAAACGTGACGTTACTGAGGTGACCAAACCGCTGACCCTCCCGGACCGGAACAAACGTTTCATTGACGCAGTAGTTGATAACTCCTCTGGCAAGCACCTGCACAGGCTTTGGACGACCTGTTGAACCAGACGTATGAAATATATGCGACCGATATCGCGACGGCTGCAGATCGATCACATTATGCCCGAGCTCCTCACAGCCTAAGGTATGCAGCGACCTGTGGTCCACAACAATATGACTAAATCCATGGGCTTTCAATCTGTGTGAATTGGCTTGGTCGGTCAACAAAATGGAGATATTGATATTTTTCAGCAGATCAATCAAATACTGGTCAGGGTGGTTCACGTCTAATGGAACGCATGTCCCCCCAGCATATATGACAGCAATCTGCGAAACAACATGATCGATGCCTCGCGGTGAAAGGATCCCAATCGGAACTTCCGTTTGCACCTGTAGACATCGGATCCGATAAGCCAGATTTAGCGCTTTGGCATGAAGCTGAGCGTACGAAAGATCGCACTCATCGTCCTTTATAGCCACTGAGCTTGCAAATCGCTTAAATTGCCGCGATAGAAGCCTAGAAAGCCCTAGCTCACGCGGGTGTTCCATTTTCGCTGACCCGTAGAGGCAGCATTCTTCCTTTCATCAATACATATTACTGGAAATAAGAGGGTGTCTATGTTGGCATACTGAGCTCCATACTCGCCTTAATGCATCTACGACATATAAAAGCCCGTGGATGGTGGTGACGGTCCATTTGGGTCGGTATCACTTGGTGCTACCTTTTAAGTTCAAGGGGATCCATAATGCAGAACTTCTTCCTCATTACCTTAGTTTAGATTGGTAAATACCTGTCCTCTTGTGATGCAAGCGAGTGGGATGTACATGTGAATGGTATACGAAAAAGTCAAGAGATGCGCTATTGATTCGCTTCTTGTGAGTACTTGTTTTTATTGTACAAGCCGATTGATTAAGCCCCACCGGTTGCTAAGACCGGATCGGCGGTCTGTGTAGGACCTACCGGGTCTTTATAATTCTGAATACTATGAAAGGTATCATTTATTAGGAAGAACGCACCGTTCCAGCCAGAGATAGCAGTCTTTGGGCAACATGGAAGGTCCGTAATCGTAGCTAGCCACCGCTATCGAGTTTGGTGTGACCGATAAGATGCCATAGATGTGCTTGGATTATAAATGAGATATAGAAAATACAGACTAAGGCACATCAAGCAAAAATGAAGTTGTCTTGGTGGCTTTGAAAATCCCCGGTGGCTGAACCCCGCAGCTGATCACGCGTGTCAATGGCTAAACCCTAGGCTTAAACCTAACCTCAACGACCTGGTAACATTCCGTCAAGACTCTAGACAGCGACGCACGATGCAACAAATCAGTCTCGACCCATCCCTTGTCTCTCAGGCATCTGGAAAGGTTGTACTTGTCACTGGTGGCGCCAACGGTATCGGAGCAGCCACAGCCCAGCTCTTCAACGACAACGGCGCCAAAGTAGTGCTATCCGATCTGGATGCAGGCCGGAATGCTGCAGAAAACCTTATACGAGGATTCCCCCACCCGGAAAATGCGTTATTCATGGCAGCTGATATCCTCAATTGGCAGCAGATGACTGCACTCTTCAAGCGCGCTGTGGAGCATTTCGGAGCTATTGACATCGTCATCGCTAATGCGGGGACGATGGAATCGCTGCCTGTCTTAGACCTAAACGATGTAGATGTGGATGGAAATCTAAAAGAATCCACAGAGGGGTTTCGAGTAATTGATATTAATATTAAGGGGACTCTAAACAGTCGGTGTCCCCTATTGCTCGCCAGCGCGTCTAGTCCTGGTTCGTGTTAACTGTATCCTAAGCCTTGCGACTCGCTCTCCATCATATGAAAACCAAACAATCGCCGTCGGGATCTATTGTTCTCATGGCCTCAACGTCAGGGTACTTTGGTGGCACGGGAGTAACGGCCTACGTAGCTTCTAAGCATGGCGTCGTGGGTCTGTTACGAGCGTCACAGAATGTCGCTCAGCAATATGGGGTTCGGGTCAATGCTGTTGCCCCATTCTTTACGCCCACGCGACTTACTGCTGGGTTCGCGCACTGGTGGGAGGAAGCCGGGCTTGAGGCTAATACTCCCCAACGCGTGGCGGAGACTATTGCGTGCGTCGCGATGGATGAAAGTAGGAATGGGTCCAGTGTTCTTGTGAGTTTGAATATATAAAGTTTTCCAGATTGAGACTTTTGCCTGTGGAAATACGCTGATTCTATCAGGTGGCTGGGAAATATCTCAGGGAAATGGAGCCTACAAAAACGGGGTTAGTCCCGCAGTGGATTGGCGAAGACGTTGCTGCATTTATGGCAAGGGCGATGCGTTTATGGACATAGGGGGTTATGTATTGCCCAAGTTTAATTAGATGGCTGTGGGCTATGCCGTCAGTGGTCGGAAATGGCGAGCTGAACCGAATCAATGTCTCGGAACAGGCCTGTATGCTGCACCCCCGTCATTCTGCGATTTTCCTTTCTTGGGATGATCTGCAGCAATAGAACAGTGAGGCGGGGCCCCATAGTGGGTGTCTTGTCTTACCCTACAGCCTTAAACCTACACAGCTCACCATAGGGTTCCTTATACAGAGTACTGCCTAAGGACCTTTCCAACGATGAGTCGCACAGCTACAAGAGTACTTCACCAGGATTCAAGCGTCGCCTGACTCCCCGCCACCCTGGAAGGGCTTCATTCCAAGCACATGTCGCCCGACTCAATAAGTGACTGAACACGGAGAGTTCCAGATCACCCGGGTAGCTATCCAGCTGGAGCACAACTCTTAAATCCTATCCTGTGCTCCCTGTGACATCGTTCACATACCAGATGGCTATTTACCCAATCAAAACCCGTGGGTGTGAGGTGTAACGGCGAAACTCCATGACTGGAATGTAGGACTTCGATGATCGGCGCTGATCAGCAAGCTTTATCCCCCATAGAAACCCCGAGACTACGTATCATATATGTTCTCACCTTTCACCATGGTAAATGTCCCGATATTGATATCCCTTGCGTGCATGCTTCCCCGCCTCCTCAGCTCATATGGATTCTATAAAGGTACTGATGTGCGTGACTACATACCGGAAAGAAAATTTCTCCTTTCTTCTTGCTCTTGCTACACTTTCGGTCCAACTTCCCTAGATACTGTGTGTACGCTGTGCGGTGCTAGATTTCTTGCCATATAGTGTTCGTTTTACGGCCTTTTACACCCAATGGGCGCGGAGTCCAAAATCCTGTACCACACGGATAATGAATCCGCATCGAATGCCTACCGGGAAAATAGCCAACAATGTTTGATTGCTACCCACGCTACAGACTTCGCCACGGCCACCCAATACACCTACCGAGAGGATAACACGAGCCAACCAGAATGGATGCCGGGCGTGAAAGAGTGGCTTGTCACAACATGCATATCGATTCTAGTGATGATGGACGCGTTTAATACAACGGTGGTTATTCCTTTGATGCCAGTATGTATGTCTACAGAAGCACAAATCAATCCATGGGGCTTCAAAATCTGACATGGATTTGTTGTAGGGATTCTCAAGTATCTTTCAGCAACCTCTTGAAAGCGTCCTCTGGATTAACACGTCCTACCTTATTGGCAACGCGTCCGGGCAAGGTCTCTTCGCCATGTTGGCGGAGGTACTTGGCCATGGACCTATCCTACTTACGTCTGCTGTTCTCGCGACAACTGGGACAGGTATATGCGGTGGCTCTTTGAGTCTGTCTGTGCTGATAGCGGGTCGATTCATACAAGGATTTGGCGGAGGAGGAGTGGTGGGGGTTTCGCTGTTAATCGTTGCAGAGCTTATTCCGAAGTCGCATCAAGTCCAGTTTTCGACCTACATCTTCCGCGCCCAAATGATCGGTATGGTGATTGGTTCAGTTGCTGGCGGGGTATACCATGACTATACAAACTATATTTGGGCTTTCTATTCCAGCTTCGTGTTTTGCGCAATGGGCCTCTTGGTGATCCCATTTGCATTGGACCTGAGAGGACATGGCCAAGAAAACAAGTTGAGCACTACGAGCAGGTTCCGTACTATGGACTGGATAGGTGCCATATTGACTCTGCTTGGCATGGGAACCTTGCTTACTGGAATCGGGTGGGAGGGAACACAAAATACCTTGGATAGCTGGCAAACGCTAGTGCCGATTTGTGTTGGTAGCATCTTTTTAATTGCCCTGATTTTCCATCAGACGCTGTGGGCCATGCATCCAATGTTCAGTTCAAGAGTGTTTCGCGACCTCTCATCAACAATGCTGCAGACAGGCGGCTTCCTACATGGATTTATTGTAAGCCCCCTTGAGCCGGATCAGCCTCCTTGGAATAATAACAGCTAATGATTATTTAGTTATCCTCTCACCTCCATGTTCTGCCACTCTACCTCATCTTGGTGAAGTCGCTCAACACCACATTGATAGGGCTGAGCCTTGTTGCTCTCACTGGTGTAGCTGTACCTGCTCTTATGATCTCGGGCACAAGGCAGCTTTTCCGACGGCCCCATGTCTCCATCTGGATCAGCCGTATGGGCTGGTTGTTTACTATTACCGCAACGGGCTGTTCGTTTTTACTGAATACGTCGATCCCAACATGCGGTTGGGTTATCATCTTCCTGGTCGCTGGGTTGGGCTCTGCTCTGCTCACATTCGGATACAACCTCTGTATCCATGTAAATAATCCGGAGTGCCACCTGGGGCAAGAAACCCGCGAAAGCGCAAAGGTATCCACAACATCGATACTAATATACTCGATTCTACGCACATGGGGCATGTGCATCGCCATCCCCATTAGCGGAACCGTCATATTCAACTACCTATCCTCCAAAGACATCCTTGACATGTCACTCGGGTCGCCCCAGGAAGGAAAAGACGCCTTTTCCGACGCGCTTCAGGTGCTTTGGAAAGTTTACATGGTAATTGCCGCATTGGGGGGAATGTCGTCTCTGTTTATTCGGTCTGCAAGTTGAGCGCAAGCGTCAGTCTGTCTTAATTGTGTAATATAATAGTAGCTTAATGATATCCCCAAAATGTGGTCAAATATACACGCGACACATCTCATGCCTTGATATCTGTAACCGTCTCGTGAAGCAGCCACTCAGCGCCGGAGAGCGAAGAGAACAGGCGTCAATTGTTCGCTCTGTTTCAGTGGGTCACAGCCAATCAGACTTGACCGCCGTTACATGGGTTACTATTACTAGTAGTTGGTTGGCGTGCAGCGGATGTGTCCGCGCCGATCGCGCTCTTCGTTCTCTGTCCCATTAAGGTTATGGGTAGTCCACCGCACCTTATTTCTATCCTGGACCCCGTGCCCAGTCATACCCTACCTCACCTCTGTTACAATTTAAGAGAGAAAAAAAACCAAGAAAGAAAAATAAACAAGACCACACACCCAATTAATAGCAAAGCATCACTATTCACCTAGTATTCTTTTTTTTTTTAAAAAAAAAAAAAAAAAAGACAATTCGCAACCCGCCAAACCAGCATGCCCGTCTCCACAAAAACCTCAAACACGATTTGCCCAAAACCCTTGGCAACGAGACATGCGTGGCCCGACTTGCCTTACCGCAAGAACACACCACGTACGATGAGTTGTATATTGCAGCGTACCCGGCCAAAAATAGCTTAGCTGGTCCTGTCCCCTTTCTCCCTCTTGCCTTGTTTTTGACTTTCGGGTGCAGTAATCAGCCTCGTGCGCGACGCCCTTTGGGCACCCATTACCTCTACTGTGGCTTGTGGGTTGTGCCTGAGATTGCGATTTATGATATATTATATTTTGGAGTCTCTTTGGATTCTTTTGTTTTGGTTCTTGCTTGAGTGTTTTGTTTTGATGAGACGTCTGTCCACTTTTCACTGATTTTCTTTGGGGTTTCTATTTTATTTTATCTCCTCTTGTAGTATTAATCTTTGGTTTATATTCAACCACTACTTCGCTTCTACTACTCTTCTCTTCTTATCAACTTTGACAGTTTATTTGACTGCCTACCATTATCTACAACTAGTTAATCCCCAACAAACCCTTAAGCATCACAAAGAAAAAAAAATGTCAAACCCAACATCCACCCTCCTAACAACACCACCCCCCTTCTTCACAACAACCCTCCAACTCCTCACCTTCCTGCTCATCCTCTCCATCGTCGGCAAAAGAACCACCACCCTCGTCCTGGCCTCGGTCTTCACCCTCTGGTTCAAGACCAGGTTCACCCTGTACCAGGACTCTGTCGAAGAGCGGCGGACTACTCGGCGGGAACGAGAGCGCCAGCGCCGGAGACAGGAGGTTCGGGATATTTCGACGAGGATTGTAGAGCAGGTTCTTAGGGAGTCTGGGACCCCCGGTTGGGGGAATGAAGGGGTGCAGGTTGGGGAGGTGAAGATGGTTAATGGGGTCGATGAGGAGGGTGTGGTTCTTGACTGTGTGGAGGGGGGGTTGGCCGAGGAGGGTTTGGCTGAGGAGGTAGAGAGCGAGAAGGGATTTGGGGATCTTGACGGGGGGGTTGTTGTTGGTGTGGAGGCTTTTCAGGTTGGGGGTTCTTTGGGTGAGGATGAGGTTTCTGTGGGGGTTGGGGAGGTTGAGGAGTTGGAGGGTGAGGGATATGGAGAGGTTGTGGAGGAGAAGTGGGTGCAAGATGGGGATGAAGTGGAGGTCTGTGAGGAGCCTGTTGGGCAGGAGGCAATAGATGAGAAGGTGGAGGTTGATGTGGTTGAGGAGAAAGCGGATGAGGGCATTTCTACACAGTGGATTGAGGATATCACTGATAATCAAGAAGAGAAGCAGGTGGTTCAGGACGAGAACCAGAAGATTGCACAGCTGGAAGAGGTGAAGCAGGAGGAACCCCAGTGGGAAGAAGCGAAGCCAGATAGCACAACATGGGAAGAAGAGACGCAGACGAGCGCAACATGGGCAGACGAGGAGAAGCAAGAGAAGCCCATTGAGGAAGAGAAGGAAGCCGCCACTGAAGTCATTTCCAAAGCCAGTGAGAGCCACGAACAGCCCGAGCCTGAGAAGGAAGTCAAGAAGCCTGAGCCAAAGCCAGTCGAGGCAAAGCCCGCCGGGCTATCTCTATCCCGCTGGAGCAATTCCTTGTCCGGCTCGAAAAAGGTCCTCGACCCACGAGCGACCACTTTCCAGCCAACGGAATTTAAATCCAGCGCGAAAAGCCAATACCAATTCTCCCTTCCCACGACGACTCGTCCTCAGTCATCCACACCACTCGCGTATAGCTCCCTCGGCGTGCTGGCATCCTCGAGCAGCTCTCCCTTGTCTGCTTACTCCCCGCCGAGCATCTTCAGCTCCATGGGGAGAAGTACGCAGAGCTCAACCCCGTCCTACGGCGATTACTCTCACAGCCCTTCATATAGCTACAACTACGCGACTACGTCCTCCTATGGGAACTCACCATCCTATGCGACTTCATCCTATACAAACTCTTCCAGCTATGCGAATACGTCTTCTTACGCAAATACTCCCCCATATGGGAATACTTCTTCTTATGGAAATTCGCCTTACAGTTGTTACACTCCGAGTCCTTACTACAGCAGCTATAACTATGCTTCCGCGAGCTGAAGTTGAGGATGACCAAAATCGCCGAAAATTGAAAGCAGTAGAATATTGGCCGTTGGCCGGAGGTCCTGTGACACCGGTAGAAAAATGGAAAAGATAAAAAAGGCCCGCGATTACTTCTTTTTCTTGTCGCTTATTTCTTTCTGTCTTGTGATTAAGCCTTTCTTGCGTGATTCTCCTTATTTTTTCCTTTTTATTTTCTCCATTTGCATCCTTGCTGCTTTAGCGACTAGCGTGTTGTTATACACTTTCCATTTTTAGACATTTGTATGTACAACTTCTAGCTCTTCATACTGGACTGGTCATATTTCAATACGCTTTATGGTACCCATGCCAAAGATTCGCTGAATCACACATTCGCTTAGAGTAATCTTACCGCACATGAGTTACCATACAGAGGTCTGACAGGCAACAATTCATGAGCTCATTAGCATGACGCCAGGGTGAGCCACTGAAGCGCCTACAAGAAAAAGGACAATGATCCAATTGGAATAACCAGTATATTGATCGTTGCTAACACTTTATGTTAGGCAGCCGATTTCCTATAAGTAACATCAAAGAATTCCACTAAAGGGAATATGCGTAATACATGATATGATAGTGACCAAATCTTTCTCGCTTGAGCAGCTGAAGCAACACCCGTTAACATGAGCTTTCAAACATGAGCCTTCAGAAAGGCAGGGTGTGTCAAATAAGTAAAAAATGACAAAATACAAACACATGCAGACAAGATATTCAATCGCCAGTGTCCTTAGGATCACTTCGTGTAGTTCGCCCTTCCAGTTGTCATGAAGGAAGGATAGGGGGTGGGCACCCTTCTCAATCCATAAGTCTCAGTCTCAGATTCCATCTCCAAAATGGGCTCCATCTTCAGAACTGACTTCATCTTTAGAGCGGGCTTTATCTCAATGTAGTAAGGTGTGGGTACTCTCTCCAAGGGACATCCAAAGCTCTCAGCGTCAGACTCTGAAGAGGACATTTCCTCAAGAACAGGCTCTCGGACCTTCTTGATCTTCGATGCAAGTCTCTTGAGCTTAGCGAGCAGATTTTGGATTCTGTTTCCCTGTGCCATGGCAGGAGTGTTTATCCTGAGTAAACTGAGAGATGTGTAAAAATGTGGGAGTGTGAGTGCGTGTAGTTTTGTGTAGGGGGAGATGGTGGAGAGGAAAAGATCGAGAGAAGGCAGGGGATTTAAAGGTTCTCATGCTAGGCGTCCTATTGCACTGTGACCTCATAACCCCTGACTCTTACCAAGGGAGAGAAATGAGAATCTAGAGAGAAGGAGGCTATATGACGTACGTGTATGCTTCATGATGAAGGCATACAGCATACGCGCCTTGCGCTTATACTTGTAGGATTCAGGAGCTTCATTTCTTTCTAAATGCGGTATGCAGGTTAGGTAGCCTAAACTACACGTTAAATTCGGCTGTGTAACTCGGAGTTTCTCTTTCCCTCCGTTTAGTCGCACGATCATCGACAGTAGCAAACATTCATCTGGTCTTATACTCGAGACTGTCCTGTTGTTCGATTCAGTCACAGCAATCTCAAGGAGTCATCATTCGCTTACCCTACGTCAAAATGCGACTCAATGTTCACATCATCATCCTTTTGGTCTCTGTGATATCCCATAGTCTCGCAATTCCAAGCATCTGGCCCCATGATATACCCCTTCCTGATGGCATGCCAAATCCCAGTGAACAGCAGCTGAAGAGAATCCAGCTAAGAGCACATGGCACTCTACCAAACACGCCCCTCCCTTCGAAGATCAGCAAGGATGGAATCATAAATCTCCAGCTGATAGCGTTCAATGAGCTGTTTGAAGTCGCCTTCTTCAACGAATTACTCTTGAACATCACGAAGAACGTACCCGGCTATCAGATTCCAAATCCCAAGAAACGAGATTTCATAATCGACGCCCTAGTAGCCATCCTCGCTGTGAGTAGCATTCATACTAGCGCATGCGATAACATTTCCTAACAAACCCTTACAGCAAGAGGAACTCCACGCCTTAACCGCCAACCAAGGCCTCGAGCACTTCAAGATAGAGCCAATCCAGCCATGCCGATATCATTTTCCCGTCTCAGACTTCGACGCAGCCATCGCTCTAGCAGCTACCTTCACCGATCTTGTCATCGCCACATTACAAGACGTGATCGTGCGATTTGCAGACAATAGCGACGTCGACCTCACGCGAGTCATCGCCGCAACGATCGGCAACGAAGGAGAACAACAAGGCTGGTTCCGAGTCAACCAGGGCAAAATCCCCAGCGAACTTCCGACGCTCACAACCGGCGATGTGAATTTCGCCTTCACAGCTATTCAAGCCTTTACAATTCCGGGATCTTGTCCTAATCTAGATAATATCGCGTTGACGACGTTCAAACCGCTGGACATTCTCACGCCGCCGGAGCCGAAGACGCAATTTATTCTCGTCAGTTGGGAATCGGAGCACGAGGTTAAGGGAGACAAGCTGTGGTTGACTTATATCAGTCAATTGAACGTTCCCATTGTGGAGAAGCTAAAGGTTGTGTCGTATAAGGATGGTAAAAAGGTTGTGGCGAAGGCTCTCTTCCCGTACGATGAAAATCTGATGAACGGGTTGACTATCGCCGCTGTGACGAACAGTGCTGGTCCTTTCGCTGGTGTTAATGACGTTGCTCAGGCGACGCTCTTTGGGCCTGCTTTGATTATTGTTAATTAGTTTCGTCTTGGTAGCGCTTGCCGTAGGTAGCGTTGTTCGTAATTCATATCATGGGGTGCCATGAGTTGTCGGAAAAAGATGATACTGGCGCTTTCCACGTCCTATATTTGATGAATAGTCTATTGATTGAACATCTCACAGCAAACAGAAGTGCATGCACGTTGTATTTAGGATAGGAGGCGTTTCATGTAGAGGCGGATCGGCAAGATCGTCGGCATTACGCGTACAGGTGTGAGAGCAGAGAACATGTGGGCCTGGGGTTATGTTCGTACATCCTTTCCTCTTGAGGTTATATCGTCGATCTTATATTGACCTGACAGTTCCACCACCGACGATCATGGATTCTGTGTAGCCCTAGTCGATCGTAGTAACACTGTGGAGATACATGGGGTATCTATAATGAATGCTTTTGACGACCTTCCAACTAATTTTGCGGCGATATGTATTATCTCTAGACCGGAGAATGATACTCTATCTTATAGGTTCATGTTATTTACGTTCAAGCTGTGAGAAATACTGTCATGATAAGCTGCCAAATTAATGTTATACAGCATATCACGGTTTAAGGACGGAAGGGACTTGAAGCGAACTAAATTCACAAATGCTAATGAAATCATTTTATGGCGACTCTGAGAAACAGGGCCATGCTCGACAAGGCAGTTCCTCATGGCTGGTCATGCCGTACGTTTCTAGATGTCATAAAACCAATGCAAAGATTCAAGCCAAGTCTATAATATTGTAGCTTGCTAAGGTATTAAAAAGAAGTAGATACACGAAGATTAATTATCATCCCCAAACCCTTCAACATTCTCACCCACACCCATTGTTTAGATAGTAATCTCTTAATCAATGATCTAGAGCTTACCCTGACCAGCGTTGGCCATGACCCACCGGGGGATGTTCTGAGCAAGGTGAGAACCGGCGATGTTCTTGCCAGCGAACTTAGAGATGACGGCGGTATCAGCCTGGCTGAAGGAGCCGGAGCTGCCGAAAGCGTTGATCTGGCAAGCACGGCCAAAGACGGACTTGCACTGCTCGTTGGTGGTGGCATCGGGGGCGCTGAAGAGCTGGCCGCTGATGGGGGACTCAACGGGGGCGTCGACGTTCTGGAAAGCGTTACCCTCGGCGAGGACGTAGCCACCGGAACCGATCTCGAAGGCGTGGCCCTCGACGTTGTGGAAGTAGTTGTTGACGGCGTGGAGGAGGGTGTTGCCCTGGACCTTGGGCATACGGCCGGAGGTGTAGTAGAAGTAGTTGCCCTTCATGGTAACCATGTCGTTGGAGCCGGTCAGGTAGACACCCCAGTAGTGGTGGCCGTTGCAGGTAGCGGAGTAGTCGGTGCGACCGTCGATGAGGGAGTTGGAGATGGTGACACGGTTGTCAGCCTGGGTACCGAGGACAATGTGCTGACGGGCGATACGGGCAGTGGTAACGTGGTCGATCCAGACAAGGTCGGCCTCGTTCAGAGTGATGGCATCACCGCCCCAGACGTACTGGGGGTTGATGTCAGTGATAGCAACGTTCCTGTGTCGCGGATTAGTATGGGTGGTAGAGGGCTGAAGATCTGAAAAGACCTACTGGATGATGACGTTCTTGGCGCCACTGACGATACGGAGACCACGGCCCTTGATGACACCGGCACTACCCTGACCGACGAGGGACTTGTTGGAGTTGATGGTGATACCGAGAACACCGGCCTTGTTGTAGGTGATGCTGCTCACTTTAGGAGCGTTAGGCTCGTAGTTGTTGCACCAGTTGTCCTTGTTGATGGCAAGCTGGCAACCGGAGGCAGTACCCCAGGGAGCGCAGCCCGAGCTCGTCTCGGTGCCCTCGGTGTTGGTGAAGTCGAAGGTCTTGGTGAGGATGATAACGCGCGGCTGGCTGTCACCGAGGTATGAGACCAGCTCATCGGTGGTGGAAGGGTAAACGGGGGTAGCGCTGCCACCACCAGTGACGCCCTGGGCGAAACCCTCAGCAGCACCAGAAACGCCGGCGGCGCTAACAGCGCTGGCGAGAGCAGCCGCAGCCGCGGCGATGAAAGACGCGTACTTCATGTTCGAAAGAAAGACAAATGAAAAGAAAGGAATGACTAAAAAGTGAATGATAAAGAAGAAGTGGGTTGATACTGCGGAATAGCAGAGCGAAGGCACCCAGCTTTATATGTAGGAGCTCTATCACTCGGTGGAGCTAGGAAAGGCAACACCCTTTTGATCATATTATGTTTCTAGAATGGGACTAAGCGGAGACTAGACATGAAACGTCCGACCAACTCCATTCCGGTGCTGCAAAGTAAAACTTTGTCCCAGTCTGCTGGGGCACAAAATGCCTGAGTAATCTTATATCGAGTGAGCCATTCGGCCCACCGAAGATAGCAGGGCTCCACTTCTTTATCGGTCCGTTACAGATCATTGGAAGCCAGTAGAGTTAGAGGCACGAACTCTACTTGATCCATGCCTATCCATGTTCCCCTGAATGGAGAATCTTGAGATACGCCAACCAAGGTGGCCAAGAATGGGCGTTGAAGCTATTCGGTGGAGGGTCATTAATGGTGTTTCACGATTGCCACTTCGGCTTTCTTAGTCTGGTAGTCTAAAAGTCTTAGTCTCGGACGACACAGAATCTATAGTCACTATGGAGCAGTTTCTCCGTCTTGGCATTTGATTTCTAAAGCAGCCGGAGATCTACCGAAACCACATTTTCAGGCGGCATTGCGTGTAGAGAACCCTTGAGACGTGATGTAGTACATCCATACCGCATACCTGAATTAGGGTTGAGAGATCAGCATTGCCCCGTGCAGTTGATCAACACGTTTAAGCTCTTCTTTCTTCCTTCCTCAGCATTAGCTTTTTGCTTTTTGCGATATGCCGTTGATGCAAAGGTGGTTCATTTCTACCTTCTATAAGGTCCCCTTGCCATAATCACTCTAATGTCTTTTGAGAATGGTGCTCGGGGCGACGGAGCAATATCTACTTTTGTGTTGTGGACAATGGACATCCCTCAGAAAATGCTGTGAAATCGGTCCACAGTGGGCCGCTAGGGTTTTCGGTTCCTGACGATATCAGATCCGCTGCATCCGCATCAACAACGCTTTGAAAAGCTTTCTGATAATAAAGCCTTGAAAATAAATTCAGACACGGGAAACTCCCGAGCTATCTGTGTACCATGTAGCTCTTAGAGTAGCGGTAATGCCTTTCAAGAGCGTGGTGGGCAAGCACAAATTTATCGACACACCACACCACATGCGGCCAAAACCGGAGTACCTTGTCACTACGCATCTCAAATGCTACAGTTAATTTGACTTAGGGGTTATCGGCATATCTCCCATGCTGTAAACCTTCGGCATATGAAGGCCTGCCTGGATTACTTACTATTCAGCCTCCATTAGCATTCATCTTGGCTCCCCTAATCCCGTTGAGAAGCTCCATTCTGTCTAGAGCGCTGACAGCACTGTTTTAAAAGGCCGATCCACAGGTAATAATAGAGTGCCAAACGCTTTCAATGACATTAAAGAGCTTTCAAAGTAAAACAGCAGCTTATGGACTAGTGAAAGGTAATCACTGCTGTACACTCAGTGGGCTCATTTTTTCAGGAACGCGCTTCACTCAAATATCCATAGTCAGACATAACCAGTCCATGCTGATATACATGCTGACTTGCTACATCTTGTTCTTCCGAGGAAATGACCATAATAGTTACCATTCGTCCATAGGCGGGAACATTCGTAGGTTTTTTCAGCGCTCGCTATACTGATGTGAATGGGTCTTTCTCTTCCCCGGGGAGAGCCATTGCTTTCATTAAGCAAAGAATAACTAACACCCCACGGAACAGGAGGTAAGTCGATCCTCCTTCGTACCAAATGTAGAAGCAACCTTCACGCTCGTAATAATCTCGAATGACAGGCCGCTTTCAGAGATGAGACATTGTCCCAGCGGGCTAGCTTATAGTAGATTAGTCGCCACTATCAGCTGATCCTATTTGACTCCAGACAAGTCAATTAATTAAAGGGGTGAGAGAATACGATAGTCTCTTTTAGTGCCAAAGAAAAGAATGTTCCGCAGTCCGCAGCTGGGAATAAGCGGTATATGAATATCAACCAACTTGCAATCTTGTCCAGCAGAACTAAATATTCCAGCAAGGGGCGATTAACAGTCTCTTATTCGAGCTCGCTATGCTTCAGGTATCTGAACTGTGCGATGAGTATTTATTCGCATCAAGGGACAAGGACCACCCAATGATTGATCCAAACTTAGAAATCTGCGGGTTCTTCCGGTTTAGGAATAGTCCATAATCGGGAGAAGCCTTTATGCCTCAGGCGGCGGCTATATGCCTCAGGCGGCTGCCCATGCATGCCTCAGCCTTCAGGGTCGAGACGGCAACTGGACTCGGTTCCGTTTCCCCTTTGGGTAGGCGGCAATTGGCAAAGGCAAATTCATTCGTGATGTAATAAGAACAGCAGAGGGATTGGAGAGAGTGTTCGGGGGGTTCTTGGTTGTATAGACCTAGTTCTCTGGCCGATCGGTCACAGAGATTGATATAGTTGTTGATCGCAAGTAGTAATTCAGGTGTCTTGCTTCTCACGTGCGAAGAAGGGGAATTGAATTTCCCCAAAGAACGAGTGAAGATTCGCCGTGTATCCCCGACGCTTGCAATTAGCTTTTGCGTGATTGGCCCGTGGGCTGAGTCAGCCGTCTGCCGGCCGTCAAACCCGAGGTTACCTCTTGGGTAAAGCTCACAAACAGCATTCTCCAACTCCCTTCGACTTCATCTCGTCGCTGCCGCTGGCTGGCTGTTCATTTGGTTGACTTGACCGCCCCTCTCCTCTCTCTATTGACGACTACTACCCTCTTTTCCTCCATCTTCTCCGCCTCTCCCCGCTTCTTATCCCATTTTCATCTCATTTCCTCTTTTTTGCGCGTCAAGTGTCCTTTCGCCCGCCATGGCTGCTCTTCGCTCAACTTCGCGCCTTGTCGCATCCTCGAAGCCTCTTTTCCGCCCGGCTGTCTTCGCTCGCTCCTATGCGACTGTCGACGCTGCTGCTCAGGTGAGCGGGACCGGTTATGCCAGTTCCAAAACTGTGCACGAATCTAAGACTTGAACTGCACAGGATCCCAACCCATCTGAGACGCCACGCACCAAGACTTTCCATGTCTACCGCTGGAATCCCGATCAGCCCACCGAGAAGCCCAAGATGCAGTCCTACTCTCTGGACCTCAACAAGACCGGACCCATGATGCTCGACGCCCTTATTCGCATCAAGAACGAGATGGACCCCACCCTGACCTTCCGGAGAAGTTGCCGTGAGGGTATCTGTGGAAGCTGTGCTATGAACATCGATGGTGTCAACACTCTCGCCTGCTTGTGTACGTAACTCGCCAACTTTGAAGTACGACGATGGAGGAATTGGGGTGTTGACTGTGCTATCTATAGGCCGCATTCCTACCGACACCGCGAAGGAGTCTCGCATCTACCCTCTGCCTCACACCTACGTTGTCAAGGATCTGGTACCCGATCTGACCCAGTTCTACAAGCAATACAAGTCGATCAAGCCTTACCTGCAGCGTGACACGAAGACCGAGGATGTAAGTCCCTACATCTACAACAGACCTCCGATTGATAGTAACCTGTTCTAACCCATATGTAGGGCCTTGAATACCGTCAAAGTCCCGAAGACCGCAAGAAGCTGGATGGTCTGTACGAGTGCATTCTGTGTGCCTGCTGCTCCACCTCCTGCCCCTCGTACTGGTGGAACAGCGAGGAGTATCTCGGACCTGCTATCCTCCTCCAGTCGTACCGTTGGTTGGCCGATTCCCGTGACGAGAAGACCGCTGAGCGCAAGCACGCCCTGGATAACAGCATGAGCGTCTACCGTTGCCACACCATTCTTAACTGCTCGCGGACTTGCCCCAAGGGCCTGAACCCCGCCCGTGCTATTGCGGAGATCAAGAAGTTGATGGCCACTCATTAAGGGGTAGTGGATAAAAAGTAAAGGAGTGTGTGTTATATATTCGGAGATATGTCTTCTTTGGTGGTTCTCTTTTGTATCCTTCCTTTTATTTTCCCGTGTTCTAGCTTTTATTCCCTCGGTTCTTGAGGCCGTCATGTCGCATGTTTCAATAGGTGTAAATTGTGAATATTTATTTTCAAAGCAACTGGCGATGAATAACCGTTTTAGAGGTGTACCTACGGGCATTTAATAATAAAAGCTGCATTCCTATTGGCAAGATGGGGAAGTGTTATGTCTCAATGGATTATATATGTGGAAGAAACACCCCGTTTTTGCCGATATTTGTACCGTAACTGCATGTGAAGGTTATGGATCGGCCCGCCGGAAAAATATATCTATCGGCAATTTTTCGGTGCAAAATGGACCGACTATATATATATCCGCGCTCTTTGCTCCTAGCGTTCGGGGTTCAAACAAAACAACGAAACAACCATAATACCAATCGTCATCATGGTAATAATAATACGAATGTCAGATTTCTCTATACACGATTTTAAGCATCCTAGACAGTGTAAATCGCACTATATGTATATATCGACTTAATATGCCCCAATTGACATGCAACTGATGTGGAACACTGAACTTGTCATTAGCTTCTGGGTGTGATCTCAATATGTGCCGAGAACCGGCCATTGGCAGCCTATTAGATACATCATATACATTATCTGGGGATGTGATCTAGATGTCAGCCTGGTGGCAATGCACATTGTTGTTTCGATGGGCTAGATTGGTCTCAATGAGTGAATTTACTAAGAATATTAACGAGCCAATCAGCAGCAACACGAAGTCCATGACACTTCTACTATTAGTCGGCTCATCTGGATTTGATACGGGTCATGTGATATCTGATTTATACCCCCGACGGTCCTTATGAATCTTTGAATGAGGTTTTTTGCACAGTCATCTTACAGTTGCTTTATGCGACAGGTTTAGCGGTTTGAATGCTGGGACCGAAATATGTATTAGGCGAATAGCCATATGTGAATTCCCAGCCACGATTCTCAAGGCGCTTTTGCTTACAGTTTACCACCAGTCTTCCACTCGTTACTAGTCTACCTCCACCTAACCTCCATTGTGGAAATGAAGTATTTCCGTACCGTCTAGTAATTTATACCAAATCATATAAAATCGAGAACTTCAGTATTCATCGACTTCATAACTGTATGTACTCATTTCTCAAGCTAGCGTCTTGGCGGAGGGCCCAGAATCAAGAGAAGAGTGGGAAGCAACTTGGCTGTACAGAGTACAAGAACCGTACTCAATCCCATTTCAATTATGCACAACTTCGTTAATTATATACTTAGCCTCTTGATATAGCTGCTATATCTTATTTTTAGAGAGGTATAAATAGTTCTCTCGTCTTTTACCGAATGATATTTTCTAACTATGACTCTCGTACTTTTATTTCAGCCCCCAAAGCTAGCGTCACTCCAGCTTCTTAACCAATTAGTAGTCACGAACCTGCTAAAGTAAGCAAGGGTATAGTTCACTAATTATTATTCGTGGTTGTTATCAAGTTTGCAAACCTTTCCACTTCTAAGCCCTCGTTAGGCCAGCCATATCAGGCCATCCAGCCCCGCTACGAAAGCCCTATTTCTTCGGACGAGCCTAGAGTAGTTGAAATATAAGTGATATCCCTCTGATCCTCTTTCATAACACCTTAATAGAAGATCTTGGGTTCAGTCACTGTGAAAGCATGTTTTTGCGCTCGCTAAGCGTCCTGCCCGTTCTGGCGGGATTGAGTGGTGTCAGTGTTCACCATCTACTATATCGCCATGGCGAATGGGATCTGAAGGGTGTTGATATGGTTATCTTCTATATTATTCTGACACTTGGCCTGATCGCGCTACAATGTTCATCAATCCTCCCTCCAACCGAAGTTCTACAACGGCCCAACTGGGCTTTGGATATCGTCAAGTATCATATCCTGGGTGTTTATACAAGCATGTTGCTTTATCGCGCAGCCTTCCATCGACTCAATCGGTTCCCTGGCCCGTTTCTTGCCCGACTTTCCAACCTCTATGTGACCTCGCTGGTCGCCAAGAAATTGCGTCTCTTTGAAGAAACCGAGAAGCTGCATGAGAAGTACGGTGATTATGTGCGGATAGGTTAGCGCATGCCCAGTTTTACTTGTCCACCTGTTCATTAGCCGGCATGTACAGGTCCAACCGAGTTGTCAATCAGGGATCCCGCGGCTGTAAAGCCGATCTATGGCTCGTCTGCCAAGGTTTCCAAGGGTGTATGGTACACCTGTAGTGAGCCTCGGGTATCCCTCGAGACAGTCCGAGATAAGAAAGTACATGCAATGCAGAGAAAGGTGTGGGACCATGGATTCAGCTCACAAGGTACGACAAAGTCAACGCTGTGGATATCGCATAGCTAACCCTTGTCCAATATAGCGTTGGAAAATTACGAGCCGCGTCTCTCGTACTATGCGACCCAACTTGTTGATGCGATAGACAGCCACCTAGGCCAGTCTATGAATATGACGCAATGGTTCACCTATCTTTCATTTGATGTGATGGGTGATCTAGCATTCGGTAAGGGGTTTAACATGCTGGCAGAAGCCAAAGACCAATACTTCCTCACTCAGCTGCATGGCAATATGAAAGCGATCGGCCTTACTAGCCATCTGTCATGGATCTTTCCATTCTTTAAGAGAATCCCAGGGTTGAATGCTGGACATTTGAAAAACCTACAATGGCTCGGGGAGCAGGTGGATAGGAGAATCAAGGTGCATTTTCCTCGGACCAATCAATATTCATCAACTGGAGCTGAACCATTGTTGGAGACAGAATCCGCCTGACAGTCCGGATATCTTTTCATGGGTTCTTCAGGGATACGAAAAAGGCCCTAAGACCAAGCAAGATTATGCCAATCTTACTTGCGATGCCGAGCTCATCTGCGTTGCTGGAAGGTACAACCGCCCGAAACCAAAGGACGAGGACGCATTTAACTGATCAGGGTTATAGCGACACGACATCTGCCACAATGATCAATATGTTCTTCCACTTTGCAAAAGACCAAGCTCTCTATAAGACTCTTCAGGCAGAGCTGGATGCACTGAAAGATTTGACACAGGAGAGCCTTAAAAAAGTCAAGCTGCTCGAGGCAGTGATCAATGAGACTCTTCGCTTGCATCCAGCTGTACCTTCTGGTCTTCAGCGATTAACTCCACTGGAAGGTCTACAAATAAATGACACCTATATCCCGGGAGACGTCACAGTTTGTATACCCATGCATGCGTTATTTAGAGGTGAGTGGATCTCTTCTACAGAGATATTACTATAACGAGAGTGTTTGACCGCGGCCAGATGAACGTGCATTTGCACAACCGACCGAGTTCATTCCTGAAAGATGGACTACCAGACCTGAGCTCGTCAAAGACCCATCGGCATTTTTCCCTTTTGGAGGAGGTATGTATTATCTATACTTTCCGAAATGAATGCACTGCTGATTTGAATCTTTAGGGTCTTATGTCTGTGCAGGAAAACAGCTTGCCATGATGGAAATTCGCCGAGTGATTGCAGAGATATTAACGCGGTATAATGTTACCTTTGCACCTGATCATAGTGATGATGCCTTCCTAGATGACACAGTTGATGCCTTTACGGTCGTCCCTGGTCCTGTGAAATTGATCTTCAAGAAAAGGTAGTGACCAGGGTGGCACCTCCCTTCGCCGCCAGTATGAATCTATCTACATAGTATCCAACCTACCCACAGCTTTATTATCGACGAGGTTTTTTTCATTGAGAAAGCAAGTACAACAGACTGACAGACACTGAGGTTGGGTGCACCGTGCTTTAATCTAGGGAACTGGTGGGTTACGCAAGCCGGGCTCTCTCGCTTCTGTAGAGCTTGGATAAGGTGTCATCTTGGTATGGGCCGCGTCACCACAGCTTTGCCAGAATCGCGAGTATTATGCGTTTGTAGCAATTCTTTTGTATTGCCTGAACAACGATGCTTGTTTTCTGTTTAAGCCATCCTTTGTTCTTTGAGGATATCTTCATGTTTTAAGACTCTGCAGGGTTACATTGGCTCGTCTGCGGGTAAGGGAATAGCCGGGCCTGGCAAGGTCACCATTGGCCCCATGTCCAGCAGCTTGGGTCGAATCTCAGTATTAACCACGTGTAAGCGAATGGAATATTGTATAACTATATCTTGAAGCGACCTGAATATGTATCATTCCTGCAGGCCTTGTGCTAGTTATCTTGGTGCAAGCTGAAACGAGATGCAGGTGCCATCTCGGCGGAGGATGCTCTTGGTAATCCATATATTCTTAGGACCGTTATCGCCGTGTGAATCGATTCTCAAGGGACTCGCATGAAGCTCATTAATTTGTCAGATAGGATGAGAACAATACATTATTCATCGTTGAAACATGTGACTGACAGGCGTTACATGAGTACAGCCGGCACTGTGTTGAATCCTGACCATCTGTATGCCGTTGGAATGACATATGGTGTTGCCTGATGTGACAACTGGATTATCTCATGCGCGGCGGCTGGATATGCGATATAGGTTTCTCTGGCACAAATCTAGCAGCTGTACTCGATCAAGAATCACCATGGAGGGCTGTTAATGCACCCTTCGGCGTGCTTGTCAAGGTCGAAAGTGCCATATCTCAGAAGTATTGGGGGATCATGGAGGGGGGGAATCAATCAAAATACGGAGAAAGAAATTCAAATTCTTGAGTTTGGCCATTTCCCGGCAATCAGAACCACAAACATCCCTTTCCGGAGCAAATACGGATATCACATAGGCGGAAGAAAGCCAATTTGCTCCATTGGCCATCGAATCCAAACACGATGTGTTGTACTGAGCTGGTCATAGATCTGCGACAGAAGATGAGTACTCCAGCCTTTCATACACCACATCCACTCTAACTGATGCAGTAGAACGCAGAAGTAACCCAGAATTATCAAAGCCAAGGGTTCGTAGTTTTTTAGAAGTACCAGAAACTCATATGGCACACGTATTAGCCAGACAAAGACATCCGCTGTCTCAAGACGCAGGCCATGCTCCAAGCACATCGCGTACGATCGGTTCATTTCATCAAGTGTGCCAATATACATATGGACCATGTGTTGATCCTGGACCTCAGCCAGGATAAGTTGGCGTAGTTCCTCTAGAACGTGATGTCGCTTGGTGGTTGTACACTTCCGATGTTGAGCCCGTACGCTGAACATCGACGCCAATGGTCCCGTCTTGAGCGACTGGTCGGCAATGTCGAGGATGGTCCCGGTGCCTCGGATGAGCAGGAGCCAGTCTGCAATATTGTTGTTTTCCAAAAGGAAGAAGTTACCCAATTTGAGTGGTTTCGCACAACTGATGAAGGATGACAAGGCGGATAGGAGGAATAATGGAGCCGAGTTGTCCGGGCCTATGTTTGCCATCTCGGGAGTAGCCAGCTTCAGTGCTGCTTCATGGTGAGTGTTCGCCTGTGTGATGTAGAACTGCATTTGCTCTGGACGCAGAACTGCCAAATGTAGGGCTGATATAGCTAAAATTGCTCGGAGAGTGTATGGTGCGGTGAACCCAATTCGAGGGACCTCGACTCGCCAGAATGTCTGCAAGAGTGGATGGAGCGAGAATGTGTAGGCGGTTGAAGTGGTATAATGGTGCAGTAGCTCCAAATCTGGGATATGCAATTCAGAGCTAGCGGTTGCCTGTAGTTGGCTGCAATCCCCTGGCGAACTCGAGTTGATCGCCCCGGGCATGCATAGAGGTGTTAGGGTCCGACTACGAGGCGATAGCTGGCTATCGGTTGAGGTCGAGGCCTTCGTCTGGGAGAAAGCAAAAGAACAGTCCACTTCATGCCTCCTGCAGTTGCCACAAGTCGGTTTCTCTTCCCCACACTATGGTTGGGTCAGCCGCTCCACTATCACACAGTATGATTTGCACTCGGAGGCTGATGTACCTTGACCTTTCTTTGCTTACATTGCTGGCAACCGGTCCGTGACTTCTGATGGGATCGGCGCCCTTTCAATCCGGACCCGGTTCGCATACTCTTGGTGTCTTAAAATTGGGGGGAAAAGATAGTTCTCAGCCTTCGTGCGCACTCACTCGTAGTCTTACAGGCAGCTCAGCTATGGACTGAGGATATTGATATGCTAGTATTGGGCAAATACGTTAGAGGCAGTCAACAAGACATGCCTAACGATATGGGTCGTTAAGGTCCGAAGCCGAATACGAACCCGACAAGCTTATTTCGGGACCCACTAGCTTGGGCCAATAGAATAGACTCCTTTGGATATCTACTTTTTGAAAATAGTCATCGAGTTCCAGAAATAAAAGTCGTTCGGTTTCAGGCCAAGACGCGATGAAGGCATAATCGACCGCTGTAACTCATATATTGGGAGCAGAATGCCGGGTCCACGTTCTTTTATCATTCTTTGTTCCTGTTGTTTCCTTCTTACCTGGCAGACTTCGTCTGAACAGCAGACCCCGATCGACTTGAACAAGTTGAATCTTTACCCTACTTGAAACATCTTCGAACAAAAGAAATGACCGTTAAGGAAGACATCCCAATTGACGACAGTCATCGGGCACCGCATGACAGTTCCGATCCACCACCGGCGTATTCACCTCGGGCTTCGTCAATTGCTTCCTCTGAGACCTCCTTGTGGACGGTGGAGCCGGATTTCGCACCTGATTTCACAAATACTTTCCAACAAGGGAGTGATTGCGCTACAGTTTGTGGTACGACTTCTATGGCTACAAAATGCAGAATGCCTGGACAGAATTGTTAACATTCTTTTGGCCATACCCAAAGAAAATCAGCAGTTTATCACTGATCCAGGATCCGGGTCGCGTACATCGGCATTCATCCAAGCATTTCTGCGACCGAAAGCGCAACCACGGCTGATAAATCTGCAATCTGATTCACATTCCCTGCTAGAAGATGGTCCATCCGACAGACAGCCACGATCGGAGCTCAGAGGAGCACCCTTGGACATTGTGATAATGGTCGTGGGAGGTAGAAACCCCGCATGCTGTTCTGCCCATTTTGACTCATCACTAAATGAAGGATAAAACAGAGAATATCGAGCCATTTGTTGCAGTTGGTACTCGACTGCTTCGGGACTCACATCGGGTTCGGATTGCCGCGCATGCCTCATGTGAAACCTTGGTAAAAGACCAAGGCCTTGACTTTTTCGCTATTAGCTACGATATGATCCATCCGCTGGCAAGTACTTGGACCTATACTGCCCCGGAGAAACCAATTGACTGACAGTATTTACCAGAGTGACATACATAATGCTGGAGGGCGAGGTGGACCTAGTAGGATGAACGAGGGTCCCGGTAGCATCAAGGGTTCACTATATCAAAGCTATCACAACTCGTGGAGAGCATGCATTGCGTCATACAAAGGCGAACGCCGACCCTTCCTCGCGGACGCGATTATTGCGAATCCACTAGCCCACGCGCATATACATTGTGCTGAGCGACTTTCAATTCCTCTGCATATCATGTCGACCGTGATTTGGAGTCCGCAAAGAAGCTACCCCATTCGCTGGCCCAGATAGAAGGGAGTGAAGCCATGGACCAAGGCATGACGAATATTCTATCTTATGCACTCATCGAGGAGACCATCTGGAACACGTGAGTATACGATACTGTAGGGGTTTGAGATTATTGTTCAGAACTAATGGAGTGGTGAGCTCAGCATCATTGAGCCCATAAACCGATTCCGGCAACATGTCTTAGGTCTTAACAGCATCTCATCAGCTACCGGTGGAAGACTCATAATCGACAACGAGGTTCCCCATACCTATTTCTGCCCTGAAGTACTTGTTTCAAGACCAAGTGATTGGGGTAGTATGATTAGTATGCCAATTAATCTGTCCAGCCGTTGTGAAGATCGATCGATCGCTGATGGTGGGCAGATACGTCGGGCTATGTATTTACGGATGAGGAAGCGCAATATAGTCCGGCGAAAGACCTGAGCGACTTCATTCAGTCAGGCTCACCACCGATATACTTCATGGTGCGAGAACACACTATGGAAACCCCTGGTATGCTGGCACGAGCCATACAGGATACCGTGGTAAAGCGCGGGCTTCGTGCCATACTGTCACAAGACTGCCGTGATATTTGTAGAATTCTAAACCACAACGACGTGTTCCTGGTTGATAATATCCCTCATGGTACGTATAACATAGAACTAGTCAGACAAACTCTAACGCAAGTCAACATGCAGCATGGCTTATGCCACGGGTTGCCGTCGTTGTCCACTCAGGAAGTGCTGATCATAGCGCACTGGCCTTACGATATGGAAAGCCAAGCGTGGTAATCCCGCATACAACAGAGTACACTCTCCCCGAAAACGGAGCGTTTTGCATTCCAAGCACACTAACACACATCCATAGTCAGCTATCAAGAGGTATAAGCCTGTCTTGCATTGGTGCAGCTGCTGCACCACTCACGAGCAACGTGCTTTCTTCCGACGTATTATACCAGGCACTAGAATTCTGCCTTCGTGCAGATATTCAAGAGTCAACTCGTGTTGTTCAAAGGCAGGTACATGATGAATCAGGTCTTAAGAGCGCCATTCAAGCATTTTATCGTTGGTTACCACCGCAGGTCCAGAAATGTGACATCACGAACCAGAACCTGGCTATGTATCAGATCTGGAATAAGCCATCGTCGAAGATCTCTCCTGAAGCAGCCGCAGTTCTGCTGGAAGAACGGCTCATAAAACAGACTGATATTGTGTTGTAAGCGTTTCCATTGAAACGTACCATACCATATTCACCTCTGATGGCGGCAATTTGTAGAATTACCCGCCAGGCTTATAATATCCAATGCGAAAGCTCAAGGCCTTTTAAGGATACTGCAAGGGATTATTGGAACGGGGCCACGACTGCCGCAAAGAATATCGCCACAGCCTCGGATCTGGTTAGCATGCTGCCCCGGATGCAACGCAAGGTGAGAAGTTTTGTTAATTAGACAGCATTCTGTATGAATAGCTAAAACGCATTAGAGCGACGACAGACATATCGAAAAGCCTAAGAGAAAGAATCTGGCCAAGGACGTTGGTATCGGTACGGCGAGATTCTTTGGAAACATTGCTCTGCTTCCCTTCACAAGTAAGCTTTTCAACACCGTTTCTTACCTCCATAGATATCTTGCTGAGTATTCCATTTGAGGCACCGCACTGGTCGTTAATACTGTTGCATATGGTGTGAAGGGGGCTAAGGGAGCCAAAGCACTAGATAGAGAGAGCACTGTACCTGATACAGCTGCATCGTACGACGTATGAGACATTTCCGACCTTTTTATGGGATATGACCACTGAAAGTGTCTATACAGGAACCCGAGTTCCCGCCAAGCGACAGCCCTCGCATTGAGGCGTACCAACCGCACCCATCCGCAAAGCAGGATTACGGTATAATAAACTGCACTACAGGGCTGAGGAATCGAGTGAATCTAAATACAAGTGACTTCCCCACAAGTGAGGCAATCAAGAGATATACGCGCATGTTGTGTCTGAGCAACACTAACATACAACAGAACAAAGCATAGAGAATAAGCATAACGAACTACCGTCATCTGTCTTAATAAAAAAAAATCATAGCTAGGGATGAAGAGCATGCTGAAGCTATCTGTCGCAGACACCTTGATCGCGGGTTTAAGAGTCCGATGCTCAAGAATCCGGATTTTCGGCGGCTGGTGATTAATAAATACCAGAGTTGGGGGTCAACATAGACTACTGGACTGAAGATACTTTCTACATATGTTTCTACAAGACCCAACATCGCTCACTGCAGAGATCATGGTTTTTTCACTACCATATCGTCTTATAGTATCTAACTATGAATGATGGGACCTGATTCTACCTGAGAGCAAGTGGAGGAAGAACTCAAGAAACTGTACAACAGAAGCAATTATCATCCTCTAACCAGAGTCGCATGTCCCATAATTACCAGACCTTGATGTGAAGGACGATCGTGGCGATCGTGGCGATCTCGGACTGAGATAGGGTAGCAAAAGATCATGTGGATCCCCTGTGGAGCGGTTGACTTCCAGATCGTGAAATCTTCTTATTATAGGATTCGTACAAGGGAATGATCTACAGACATATCCAATCCTTTCGCACCCTGTCATAGTAAATCCAAGTTAGTTTGCAATATCAAGCCACGTACCAGAGTATTTAAACCCCCACATTGTCACGGTCGGTTATAAAACCATTCAAAGGAACGTCTCAGAGAAATTCCACTAAATCAAATCACAACAATTCAGACATAATGGCTTTAATCGAAGTAACAGCGTACGTACTTTCCCCCACCTTTTAATCACCATTATTTGCTAACTTTGCGTTAATGTTCAGTACCGACCGTTTGGGGAGAAAGGTTCACGTTAAATGCGATTCAGAAATCACAGTCGGTGACTTGAAGAAGCTTATAGGAGACCAGACTGGGGTTGACCATAGCAAGGTATACTCTACCCACTGTAGGCAAAGGGAAACAGGAATACCGATGTGTACTTTAGATCCAACTTAAGAAGTGATATACTATTTATAAGGATCACATAACACTTAGTGATTATGAGATCAACGATGGGATGTCTCTGGAGATGTATTAGATTGAATGAGGGTGGCCAGGTCTGGCTGACTTGCCGGAAGGTACACGCGGTGGCGGCATGTACAAATGCAAGGAGGGCACTATCCAATGGGGTCGGGAGAATACCGTGGTAGAGTTCCTTCTGTTGAAGCTGCTGTGGCTAGCTATATATTTATAGGAATCAGATCTCACAGTACCAGCAACTTAATGATGACTATTTCACGGTCACTCCAACATCTTCTAGGGTTGTCTACTTTTTGCTGAAAAACGGCTCAATATCCCTGCCCCACGACTTTACGCCATGTACCGTGATCAGGAAACCCTGTATATCGTCATGGAATATATCCCCAGTATTTCTCTAGGGATGGCGTGGCCCTCGCTCACTGAGGCAAATAAACATTCAATTGTTGGACAATTGTGATGCATCTTCGATCAAATGAGCGAGTTACCATCGCTCGGATTTTACGGCAGTGTCAACGGAGGACCCGTTCCCCATAGATATTTCTGGTCTCGTCAAAACGACCCTGCTGTTACCGGCCCGTTTCAGACGGAGGAAGAATTCGGAAAAGCTATCGCACTTCGCTCAAAAGCTGTATGGAGCGAATCAAATGCTAACAACTTTCTCTCCGACTATCTCGCTCGCCACCTCCCAGTAGCACTTCACAACCATCCGCCTATGTTCACCCACGGAGATCTTTAAAGAGAGAATGTTCTTGTCAGAAATGTCGTTAATCCTATCACAAATGAAGAAGAGTATGAAGTAGCTGCTCCTGTGGACTGGTAAACTGCTGGATGGTATCCTTCGTACCGGGAATACGCTCATATCTTTCCCCTATTGCAATGGGTTGACGACTGGCCGGCATATCTTGAGAAGATTCTTGATCCGTTGCCACTTGAGGGCACCATGATGCGGCTTGTCTTTAATCACCTGGAGTTCTGATTTGAGATAATACCATGTTGATTCTGGGCTCTTTGTCCGGTCACAAGGAAGGGTCTGATCGCTTGATCTCGGTAGTATTCCGACCTAGAGCTGGATAGATGGTGATTTGATTATCTCCACAAAGGGCTGATTTTATTTGCTTTAGATGATTGGCGTCCTTAACACAAGCTTAAAGTTAGAGCCTGATCTGGCCGAACTCTCTGTCAGTGCTAATGCGGTTGTATGGACACCCGAGCCGAGTGGACAACCGAACCTAGTGGCGTCGGCCATCGGCCGATGTGCGATCTATAACCGGCTCAACGAAAGGTGGAATGATGGATGCGGTATTTGGGACCTTAATCTCGCACGTCGTGCGTGAGAAGTCTCGCTCTGCTTGTACGGAGTAGCCGAGGTAACAAAAAGAGAGCCCTACCGACAGAGATCGGAGCCTCCAGTCAGTGATCGCAACGCTTTGTGTTTTTAGATCTCCTGTATACTGGATTCTGGGGATAGACTATGGTGTTTGAGACTTAGATCCCTTCCCATCAACAAGGCGATTGCATGACTAGACTTTCAACGTACCTCTAGCGGGCTCATATTATCCTTTTTAGTTAACTGAGAAGGCAAGAGAACGAAAAGAGCTTCAAGTACCCGACGATATCTTTTGCTATCTATGCTTTTACAAACAAAATCAGGGGTATCTCCCAGTCGACTTCAGCATATCCATACACCTCTCCACAGCCTTCTGCATCTCATTCGTAGCTTCCTCCAGCAGAGCCGTCAACGGCACCCTCCCAGCCTTCTCCCTCTGTACACGCACGTACTCATTATTTAGCACCTTGTTAATATTAATCTTGGAAACACCGCATTCGATGCACTTGGAAAAGATCTCCTCCGTAAACGGATCAGCTCCATGCAGCACCAACCGGACCTTATCTCCAACCGTATCATGAATGCGCTGCAATCGGTCATACTCCAACTGAATGCCACGGGGCCCATACTCGCCATGGACATTGCCAAACGCAGGCGCCAGCCAATCGATTCCCGTGTTCACAAAGTCAATGCTCTCCTCCGGTGTGGTCAACAATCCTTCCAAGTCTGCTGTGTCCGCGACTCCGTCCTCTCCGCCCTCGATCCGTCCGGGCTCCGCTTCTGTCGCAATCCCCCGCTCATGACAATACGTGACTAGCTCCTTCGTGAGAGCGAGGTTCTCCTCCTTCTCGTAATGTGACATGTCAACCATGATACTATCGAATCCGCCCAGGTCTGCCGCATAGCGGATAATCTCCGGCGTCTGCGCGTGATCCATGTGCACGGTGATCGGCACGGTCGCCTTGCGCGCGGCCTCGGCGGCGGCGTGTACGAGGAGTCCGTCGGCGTAGTGGACAGCCCATGGGAAGAGGAGGATCATCGCTGGTGAGCGCTTCGCTTCGGCGGCGCGGACAGTGGCTAGAATGCCCTCGAGGTTGTAGCAGCACATTGCGGGGACGCCATAATGGTTTGAGGCGGCGTGGTTGAGGATATCGAGGGCGCGATTGTTGGAGAGAGACATCTTGAATGGCTTGTGTTTGTGTTACCCGTTCAAGATAGATCAACTACAATCAGAAAAGTGATTACCAGAAACCAGATAGTGGAACAATGGGATTATTATATGTATCGTCGCAGGCCATATGAAAGTCGACGCGATGGTGAACCCCCACTCGCGCCGATCTCCGACCCCCGGAGTTCCTCCGACTGACGTCAGGGTGCCTGTGCCTGAATTGCGAACTCGTATATCCATAACATAATCTAAACTCGGTATCTCGTGAAAACTAACGCTTTAATTACTCCTTTCCAAATACTTTGATCACGCTAGTCGCGCCCTCGGCTCCCAACCCAGCCCTCTGAGCAGTGAAAAGCACATTCAGTGCTGCATTGCCTAAATGCAATGGACAATGCAGATCCCTAGCTTGTTGTACCACCGCCTCTAGTCTTGTGATGGCCTCGTCAACTGTTTGTGATCCGGCGGGTGCTTCCTCGCCGATCTGTCCCTTGATCATTTCCAGACCTTTCGTGATAAACATCTTGCTGCCGCCCGCGGCGGCGCTGACAAGGTCGTAGAACTGCGCGAGATCGACCTTGAGGTATCGTGCAAAGGCAACGGCTTCCGCAGAAGCGACCAGGTTGACACCGCGCATCAGGTCTAGGACCAGCTGCAGCGCAGCGCTCTTATCTTCCGCGGATGCCGTTACAGAAGCAATAGGAGTGGTAAAGTACTGGCGCACCATGGCCGAGTCATCCTTCGGTCCATATCCCTGTAGTAAAGCAGAGATGTAGATCTGTTCAGCGGTGGTACAGAGGGGAATCGGGAACCGGTGTTGACGGGCAGAAGTAGTGATAATACCCTGTATAATCGTCAGCATTGTCCCTAATACTTAACATTCCCAATGCCAAAGTGATTACTAACCGCATCCTTCAGGATAATAGTCAAGGCACTAGCACCAGGGTTCCAGTCCTCCTCTACCATGCGCGGAAAGCGATTCTCGTGCATCCACGTCCACGCATCAGATCCAATTATCTTATCCGCTGTCTGGCGCGCATCCAGACCCAGTTGCGCCGCCAGTCCCATGGCTTCGCTGGCCCCGAGGATGTGGATAGCTGCCAGAACCTGATGTACCATTTTCATGTTACTTCCGGCTCCAATGCCCCCGGGCACAAGGTACAGTTTACTCGGCGCGGACATGGTCTGCAGCAAGTCGCGACCGCTTTCAAGTGCCTCGTCTGCACCGCCTGCCATGATGGAGAGCGTTCCGTCCGCGGCGCGTTTGGCACCACCCGAGACGGGGCTGTCGATGAAGAGGATATCGCCGCGGCCACGCGATTGCAGTTCTGCCGCGACGGACTGGGCGTATGAGGCGGAGACGGTGGAACAAAGGAGGAGGGTGGCATTTTGGGGGAGGTCTAGATTGCATCGTTAGTTCTTCACGAAACGCTGTTTGATAACATAGAGACACTATATCAAGAGTGGCAAAGGAATGAATACATTTTACAATGCCTTCCTCGTCGAATAAGACCGATTGCACCTGGGGCGCAGATGCAACCATGCACACGTAAAATGACTTTCCCTCTGCAGACTCCCGCAGTGATGCTGCAGGAATACCTCCGGCTGCTTGGAATCGTTGTACCGAGGCAGGGAATACGTCAAAGCCGTGGACAGGGTAGCCTTCGTGGACAAGGTGAGTGGCCATGCCGAAGCCCATGGCTCCTAGGCCCACGAAGCCAATGGTAGGTTTGGACATGATGGCTGTGAGTGAAGAGTAGATATTCCTGAGTTATTCAATCGTCTTTGTGAGAATACTCGTAGCTTACATGGGATTCATAGCGGTTAATAAAGAGAGACAACTCAATCGGGACTCGGGAGACGCTTTCAGGGCCGAAGACGTCAAGTGGCATGTTCGTGTGGGTGTCGGAGTTGCGCCGATGTCTCTATTCCATCGCGACTTTTGGCTAAATTCGAGGAATATACCCGGTGCGATCGCCATCATGTTCTTAGGATTGTGGCTTTGTTGTTTGACAGCCTCTTTCTAACGCTTAATAATGGATTTAATACATTCATGCGCATACCATCCATTATTTAATGGAACTGGAACCTCACGATGGTCGGTATCTCTACCACGCACTCATATTGAGCCTTCTCGTCTATAGCGGTACAATGCATCGCTCCTCCAGGTTGCGGGCTTCACAATGTCCATGTGATCTGGACGCTTTCACTTTCCTCTGGTAGAGGCAAAATATCGATATGCCTCCAGATCGTTCATCTTCAGGAGATCCGCTAGATCCTTGAGGCTGCAAAGCCTATTAACCACATGCCGAACCATTCTTCACTGTCAAAGGATATAGTCTCACATATGTTTCTGAAACGTGTTCATAGACTTCTTCCAGGACTATCACACCAAAGAGGACATGTCCCAGTGCACATTTGCCTCAAATCCGGTTCTATGCTGTAGAGATAACATGTTCACGCGGGATATGATCGGCAGTTGCCTCCGCGTAATGAGGACTCCGGATTGCATGATGAGCGTATTAGATTGCATGGTTTCCCCTGTGATCTGAAAACCTGGATCATGTCCTGGCTTAGGACTCCATTTAATGTGCCTGGATTCATTCATCGGGGAGGTTTCATTTGTCCATTACGACACAACTACTGCCGGCACGACGGGCCGCCAATAACCAGGCAGAAAGGCGCGGTGGGGAGCCTTAGCCATGGTCCAGGTTCCGAGCTGTCGAGCTCAACCACAACCTCGCCACTTCCAACCTTTCAACTTATGTGACACACATTTCTTTTTCTTTTTCTACTACCACAATGTTCGCTCCACTTCTTGTTGTTTACACACTCCCATGCTCTGGCTCGGTTCCTCGCGATGATGTCCGCCAGAGACTCTTCGCCTCATCTCCCACGGCGGGGGAAACATGCGCGGCGCAACGAGCTTTTTCGTGAGAGAGAAGCGCACCAGTATGACCATGCTCACCAAACATTGTTCGGAGCACTCATCTGACCTTGTGAATTGCTATAGGTACCTACCACCCCATATTGACTCGTCCGAAAAAGCTTCATCATCAGATATCCTAACCAATCTTGCTCAGCTGACTGCACTGCAAGTGGGTGCCGATCGTGTCGTTATCTCTCTATGCGACCGCAAGGCCCAGTATGTCTTGGCCGAGACGCCATCAATCACTCGCAACAAGCGCGAATGGCATCGTGACAAAGCCGCGCCGTGTCATCACGCTTTACATGCATTCATCGAAGACAACAGAGATTGGTTTTTGGTCACAGACCTTGCGCCGGATCCGCGATTTGATGCCTACTGGTCAACACTCTCCCGGAATCGCTCCTATTTTGCAGTCCCGGTCCGCACTCCAGCTCGCGTCGTCATTGGGATTATCGAGTTATATGGGAGCGCCAAAGGCAATGAAGTAGATGACAAACAGCTTCGGCTTCTCCAAGGTCGGGCGGGTACTGCGCTGGACCATCTGGCTACATTGCGGACAATGCGTGAAGAGCATCGAGGCGAGAGAATGATCAAGGCGTTAGGCGCCTTTATGGGAGGGAAATCGGATATCCAAGAATGGTTGGCCTCCAGCCATCCTGGGCGGCAACCTCCCGTCTTTGAATCGTCTAGATCACTTGACCCTGTGACTTCCATCCATTTTGCCAACAGTCAGAAGATGTTAGATATACCTCCGTCCCATATTCCCCAAACCGAACTGGGCATCCCATTGCGCGGTCGTCCAAATTCCTATCGCTCCCGATCGCCTCCACGCAGAGCACGGAGAGAGTCTCTGACTTCCGAAGACACATATTCAGTTCTTCACAGGGCATCGACTTTGATTCGACAGGCCCTGGATGTGGATGGCGTTGCATTTTTGGATATCAGCGCGTTCAATAAGGAGCGCCATGGTCTCTCATTCAAAGCGTCGAGCAATTCACGGTCCCGATCCCCGGATATAGTCGAGGACGAACATTCGGCGGGCCATGTGTTGGGGTGTTCTACAGTTCAGGGTGACAATCAGAATATAAACGTTTCGATATCACTTTTGGGAACTTTGGTCCAACGGTATGGAAGAGGTGGTATCTTTCATCTTGATGACACGCTTTCGCCGTTGAGCGACGAGTATTCGTCGGACATCGACGGGTCCTGCTCGTCGCTAGAAGATATGGCGTCGAGTTACTATGGCATTGACATGCGTCAGATCGCTCAAACGTTCTCCGAGGCGACCAGTATTGCATTTTTTCCTCTTTGGGATTTTCAGCAAAATAAGTGGTTTGCGGGTTGTTTTGCCTGGACAAAAGACCCTGGGCGTCTCTTCGCTGAGTCCACAGATCTAACGTATCTTGCAGCGTTCAATAACAGCGTCATGGCAGAAGTTTCCCGTCTCGATCTGCGAGCTGCGGATCGCGAGAAGGCTGATTTTATCTCGTCAGTGTCACATGAGTGGCGATCTCCCCTACATGGAATACTCACTATGCTTGATCTTCTTCAAGAGACCAAGTTGTCGAATGTCCAGCAGTCCTTGATTGACATAACCATGAACTGTGGCAAAACTCTCCTTGATACGGTCAATCATGTATTAGATTATGCCAAAATAAATAGTCTTCTTGGATCAACGACGCTCGATCGGTCGCTAGATAATGCCGAAACACCTCAAGCATCCCAGTTTAATGCTCCTGCTCTGATCGATCAGGTGAATATGGCTACCTTGGTCGAAGAGGTGGCTGGAGCGCTTCTCGCCAGTCAAGATTATATGGGACGTAATGCGGAGGCCCTTTTCTCTCCCACAAAACAAACGGCCAACCGGCCGTTTCGCGAGTCAAAAATCCCCAATTCCGTTCCTAGGGCAATTTTTGCCATCGTGGATATTGAATGTCGAGAAGGCTGGGAATGCCGTGCCTCTGCTGGTGCCTGGCGGCGGATTGTACTGAATCTCCTTGGCAACGCCCTCAAGTTCACGCCATCAGGGTTTGTTCAGGTAAAGCTTCGACATGACACGGTGAAGGTTGGACACGAGAGCCTGCCGGCTATTCTCCTCCAAATAAGCGATTCGGGACGGGGAATCTCACCCGACTTTTCCTTCTCAAACCTCTACACGCCATTTCAACAGGAAGATTCTCTCTCGCCAGGCATTGGTGTTGGACTCAATGTAGTCTATCGTATCGTACATTCGATGGGTGGACTGATAGACCTAACGAGCGAGCCTAATCGAGGAACGGTGGTCAGCGTCCTTCTACCTATAACCCCAACCTCGCGACCGTTATCACCCTCCATTCCGTATCAGGAACTACGCGAGAAATTGCGAGGGAAAACAATCTCCCTATTCCCCAATAGCTCAAAATATGGGGACCTGAAGATAGCCCCGGAGATCTTTAGTACAATGTTGCTCAGCATGGAAAGGATGATCACCCAATGGTTTGGGGTGCGTGTTCTTACACCTAGGGAACGGGACCACGAACATCCGGACATTTTCATAATTACTGAGCATGAATACCGCCATGGCGAAGCTAAAGAAAGCGCAGCCACTTATTCTAGGAAGTCGAAAGCCCGGAAAAATCCAAAAACGTCGTTTCCCAAGATTGTGCTCTGCACGCATGCCCATAGTTGGTTCAATGAGCGCCGGGACCCCCAGGAGCCAGTGGTGTTTCTTCAGCAACCGATTTCCCCTAAGACTTTAGCTTCTGCTTTCACCAGCTGTATTGAACAAAGGATTCAGTTGCGTGATGCAGGTGTTGACACAGTGCATGAAGCAAACACAGTTACCCTTGAAGAAATGTGCCAGCGCCAGCTGCAAATTACCACGTCTATATCACGAGAAGATGAAAAGCAAGATCAGGAGGAGTCGGATGAAAAAAACTTGTTTGTCGATAAACGAGAACCCACAAATAGCCAGGGCTCTATATCACCCAATGAGAAGGACCCAACGAGTCAATGCAAGGTTCTGCTCGTCGAAGACAATGACTTGAACCTCAAGGTATGAACACCATAATACCCTGTGCACTACCTTGTTGACCGTCAGGCCAGATTCTACAAACTACTATGAAAAAAGCCGGGTTTGCTTATGAAAGTGCTGTAAACGGGCTTGAAGCAGTACAGAAAGCAGAGAGCGAGACCTTTCGAGCCATTATCATGGGTAAGATAGCACTCTTCCGCCTTGTAGATCGCTTATTAACTGGTCAGATCTCTCCATGCCGGTCATGGATGGTGTAACCGCCTCTCAGAAAATACGCGAATATGAAAAGAATAACTCATTGCGCCCGGTGACAATCATCGCGTTGACTGCAGTCGATACCCCGGCCATGAAGAGAGATGCAATGAGGAGTGGTATCGATCTCTTTCTCACCAAGCCAGCTAATATGAATCGGCTAAAAGAGATCATATCTTCCCTGACAATCTGAGTTTTTCTCGACGGTTCATAGCTCAATGTGCGAGTGATGTGGGCTATTGGCAAGATGCACCAGTTGTACCTGGTTGGGCATTCCATAATCTAACGCCAAAAAAATTAACCTAGGCCTTTTTGTGGTCCTTCGCACAATCTATACAAGTGCATTGAGACTTGGCTAAAACCCGACCCCTCGGATCCACCTGGGTATCCACAATCGCGACTATGAAATATTATTGGTCATGAGCTATTATGATTCATAATTAATCATCCCCCGCGTCTTCAGCGGCGTTGGATTTATATATCGCGATAGTAACAGGCAGTCCTTTGGAAGCACTAACATCGTGCATCATGGATGCCTTACCTGTCAAGCTGGACTTCCTGGGTCAGCTACCTGCCCTCAAGCTCTACACACAGATTTGCCTTTGCTTTCCTTTCGATGTCTCATCTCACGACAAGGTAGTCCAGACCCTGCAAAAAGGCCTCGAAACACTGTCCATCAATTTCCCATGGGTAGCAGGTCAGATAGTCAGTGAAGGCAGCAGCCATGGCAATTCTGGCACGTTTAAGATCAAAGCACTTGGGAAGACTCCGCCACTGGTCGTGAAAGACTTTCGTCATGATGCCAACGTACCGACCATGGATGACTTGAGGCACGCCAATTTTCCCTTTCGGATGTTAGACGAGAACATCATTGCTCCTCGAAAAACTTTGCCAAGCCCTGGTGAAGATACTATCTCACCAGCCTTTCTTGTCCAGGCTACTTTCATTCACGGTGGCTTAATCCTCACTCTGGTTGGCCATCATAACACAATGGACATGACTGGTCAGGGGCAGGTTATCCACCTGCTCTCGAAAGCGTGCCGTGGAGACACATATACAGATTTAGAGCTAGAGTCCGGGAACCTGGTGGAAGGTCACCTGGTCCCCCTTCTAGATGGCTCGTATGGACCCGGGCCAGAACTCGACCGTCAAATAATTAGGCCGGGACCTCAGCAACCATCTGTGCCTCCCCCAAAGTCTACCTGGTCATATTTTTCGTTCGACAAAACCTCGCTCGCTAGACTGAAATTGCTTGCTGAACAGTCGAAGACCTCTGAATTCATATCGACAGATGATGCACTAAGCGCCTTCGTTTGGCAATCGGTGCTTCGCGCCCGCCTGAAGCGGCTCTCACCGTCTCATAGCACCATGTTTGGTCGTGCTGTTGACGTGCGGAAATACTTTGGCATCCCTCCGACATACACTGGTCTCATGCAAAACATGGTATACCACACCGATACAGTACACGGTCTACTCGACACACCTCTAGGCGTCATTGCCTCACAGCTCAGAACGGCAATAGACCCGCAGACATCTTCTTTACGATCTCACACCCGCGCGCTGGCAACATACATTGAGCATGCGTTGGACAAATCGTGCATCTCCTTTGGAGCCAGTTTTAATCCGTCGACAGATATTATGATTAGCTCGTGGGCAAGTGTGAACTGCTATGATTTGGATTTCGGATTCGGCCTTGGAACACCAGAGGCTGTGCGAAGACCCCAGTTCACTCCGGTTGAAGGTTTGATTTATTTCATGCCCAAGAGGCCCGATGGCGAGATTTCAGTTGCTGTCTCATTGCGGGAGGAAGATATGGCGCGGTTAGCGGCAGATGAAGAGTTTAAGAAGTTTGGCGAATACGTTCATTAGACGATAAACCTAAGGATTATACAGGTGCATGAGCATTGTATCAGTTACTAATAGCAAAGACACTTATGGTCTTCTATTTGTGTGAATGGGCCGTCTATCCTGAACATAAAGTGACCTTCTAACCATAATCTATATATTTTTTTTAAAGACGGGCTGTGCCAATTTCAGTCTTACACAATGTCTACTTTAACCGAAATAAATCCAAACAAAATAATAGAGCCAGGAATAAGCAGAAACGAGAGATCTGAACGTTTCCAGAGGTCGACCGCCGAAAAGCACCTTTTACACATTCGGTATAGGAAAGGTAACAGTGCTCGAAACTCAATTCCAATTCCCCAGAATCAGTAGTAATAGTCCAAAATACTTCCGTCATCACTCTCACTCTCCAAGAACCCATTTGACAGAGACAAAGGTGCCTCCTTTACCACGATTGAAAACAACCTCTTCACATGTACGAGGTCAAGACGGCCACACCGCCTTCCTATATAATATTCTGCCTAGCTCAGTGATAATTCCCCGACCGTGGAAACGATTTTCTCTACTTGCATACTGCGACATGAATAACTCTGCGAAAAAGACCTATCTATATCTCAAAATCTGGTATACTGTCCTTTGTATAACAAGGTATTTGTGTGCTTTTTTTTATTTAGATAAATAATCGCTTTTGACGGAGTAATAAACATTGAAGTTTCATCGTCAGGAAGATACACGATCCGATAGCCTTGTCTCACAGAGTGTATAAAACTAGGGTTTTAGCCCTTATTTGTGGACCGATACGGTTTAGTGCGATTTTGGTCTGACTTTGTATGGGAGGAATGGTACTTTGTATGTGCATGGACGATCGGACTTGTATTAAATATGAGGGATACATAATGAGATATAGTGTACTGTATAGAAAGGAGGCTAGGTACGCGATGATATACCAGAAAGATGGGTAACTTCACGGTTCTTCTGGAAGATGAGGTTGGAAGGAGGTAATATATATATCTTGAGGTACATACTTCTAGAGATGGAATTCTTATTCTTCTGATATCCACTACATAGCAATACACCCTTGGATGAATGAGAAGGAACCAAGGGAATCCAGAACAAAATACTACGAATTTTGCACAAAGATCCTATTCGAATATCCTGTGACTGTGTATGGTATCAAGCGCTCCAACGTCTTTCGAGGTAGCTACGCACAAAGACGGCCTTGGTGTCAGGAAGACGTATGGATAAATACGGATATTGTTCCATAGGAATGGTATCGCTATGATGATGCCTATTAAGAACTAGGGTCATATACTGGAAACAAAGGAACTGACGATCCGCTCCCGATCCGCTCCCGATTGACATCCACATCTGATATCCATGGCTGCCAAACGGAGATGGTATGGGACTGTCCTTCCAATTTCAATCTAGCCGAATTAGTATGACCTGGCAGGCTAGCAAAGTATTCTTTATGGCGTGAAGAGCAGTACAAAATGAGGGCCAAGCTGAAGTACAACATCTGGGCAACTTTTGTGGATTTGGTCTTGAATAGTGCATGAGACCTACATTACCGGTCTCATCAAAAATAAATCATGATGTAGGTACGATGAAGAGATGCCCCGCTCTGGGTGAGGGGCTCAAATGCCGTTCTAGAATAGTAGTAGATCCCCCTGAGTATCCTGGGTGCCTGCAACTGTCATACTTGGTGAGTCAGAAAGTGAAAGTTTGGGTACTGCAGCCGAGACCGAAAGAGGGTAGCCTGGGTCTTCGGATGTCACGCCAATGACCCCGGTAGCTATGGTGATACTGGTAACTGAACAAGTAATTAAGGAAGCGACGCGGCCCGAGTATCTATCTCCTTCTGTGGGCGGAACATTGGGTTTACCAAAAGAATGCTAGCAGGCCGACTTGACATCGCACCGTCAATCTAGAGAAACAGCGGTATTTTATTATCCTGCATATCCAGGTGATGAACATCCTTGCTGAAGATATAATTTGTACTGGAACATAACCAACCGAGAGGTATTAAAGTATTACCTGGGCTAATCGTGCATGAAGGCAAGAGGGCTCATTGGCCACACAGTCGCTGAACATACCAAATGTCTCACAGACTTTCAAGGATCAGAGTTTTGCACAGCATGGATAATACAATTTATTTTCCTTTCCTAGCTAATAGATGGATTTTACGAAAACAGAATTTTGGAGCGCGCAGCCGCGCGTTAAACAGCTTCAACCATCGAGGTGGATAGCTGATTGTGCTAGATCTGCCTATGTTAGTATGATTAGGGTCACACAAATACTATTGCCAGCTTGCTAAAAGACTATTTCCACGTATTTTACCCGTCACCTCGGGGATAAGGCAAAGGAGATACGATGACTGGGAAGTATAGAATTGGTGGCAATAATATAGTAAGACCCTTTCTAGCCACACCGAGCTATGTATATCGACTTGGGAGATGAGGAGAGAAATTTCCAAGAAATGTCTAACCACAGTAACCAGAGCTGTATCCCTGGGTCTGATTTATCATTGGGTAGTGACATCGTGGCTCAGTTGGGAGGCTTGCATGGTGTGCTTGCACCTACCATTCGTACCACTTTGAGAAATTTAAAAGAAATTGCCTAGTTTTGAACGCTTGCAACTGAACTATTTCTTATTGTACTTTTACCTTTAAATAAATAACTCTGTAAAAAGAATAGTCTCAAGAGTCGGTGTTGTTAAGGAATTTATCATTCTATATTTCCAGATTTCTGTTTTGAATCTGTATTTAATCGGTATAAAAAGTGAATTCTTAGACACTTGCAGAACTGCTGATTTTCAGGAGCGGTCGGAATTCGAACTTCTTAAGAATTAGTCGACCTATAAGCATTGAACATTTCCTTATTTTGTCAAGTATAATCAAGGATAGGGTGCCCGGCTCTCCAGACAACAGCACAGCACCGCCACAATTTTCGACAAGAACGAGCCACGACACATTCCTCGAAAACTTATAGGCAGAGTTGAGGATGATAGTGACGTCAGATGCTCGATGAGGTGCTGTTGTCTCAGCAGAAATTACTACCGGATACTGGTGGCACGCGACTACTTCCAGTTTCTGGACCGTAAAAGTTATGCGCGCCTCGGGAATTTGTACCGTACTACAATACATTATCGTTCCATTTCGGACCTGATTATGTTAGCCTGGTTTGTCGTTTGCCATATAAGGCATTGTAGAGAAGCCTGCGATCCAAGGTCCTATACTATGCATTCGACGCGTTGCCAATGGCGTGGTCTCCAGAGACTATCATCGCATTAGTTACCCTCCTTGTAGCAAGCCCTTCAACATTGCTACTCATATGGAAGTACATCAGACGGAGAAAAATACGGTGCACGATTGACCGTTAGCTCTCCTCATTCTTCATGCAGGTCATTTTTTAGTGCTAACGGCTTCTTTTCTTTTCTAGAACTCGAACGAGCCGGGCCCTCCTCCGTCCCACCCACATCCAATGACCTAATCCTTAGTCGTTTCGCGTTCGGGCATCCTGAAATCCTTCTGGAGACAGGACTATATCGGGATGGGGCTGTCATACAGATTGTTGTGTCCTAATTCTTGTCTATGTGCCCTCAATATTCTGACAAGAACCTAGTATACCTATGTCCCGCCACAAAGTCTCACGACACAACCATGGCCGAGCTATTGTTATCACGGACAACGCTCTGGGAATCCACCGTCGTCAGCTGGAAGACCTATGTGGGAGTGGGAATGATTGAAGCGTCTATAACGAGTGAAGGCTCTGCCGTACAGGAGGTCAAGCTGCCAGCTGGATGCAGGGAACGAGATCACCATTAAATGATTATTACGCTCGCCTAATGTTTAATTAGACAAATGATAGAATTATGTTTTTATGTATATTGCGATTTACAAACTAGACCTCTACAGTGATATGGATACGGATACGCTGGATCGGAGATAGACACGCAAGCCTGGTCGTTCACTTGTCTTTAAGACATTCGGGTGACCTCTTTGAAACACACAGTCTGTTAGAATATTCTGTGTCAGGATCAGAGCACTTTAGAATACCCAAGGAGCAGATAGTTCCATCAACCCGAGTGCCCTCGGGGCAACAGTTCACCTAGTTCGAAGAGAGGTCCTTTATATAATGATTTTGTGTCGAGAGTGAAGCGACGAGATTTGCTAAGGACGCTTTGTTCCGCTAGGAGACTAGGAATTAGTAGGGCCTACCAGGCCAGCATCACCTTCAACTTTGTCATTTCGATGAAGAAGAATAACGCAGACAACTGAATTTTGATCTTGCTCTTGAAAGATACTGCAGAACTTAGGGTAGGCATAGAAATCATTTGGTCTAAATAGCCCCAAGGCGTTCTTAATTGTCTAGAGTATCCTCATTCATGCTTTAACCATAGAGCCTGTAAAACCGCTTACCCAGGCTAGGATATAGACTCCACAGGTAATTCCAGTCACTCCAAGTCCCCGATTAGGAACACATTCCCGAGGGAAGACAGAAAGCCAAATATTGGTTTGCGAGAGATATATAAAGTTGTCCCAAAGAAAACATACTATGACAGGGAGTCGGGCTGGCACCATGACAATCAAGCCTCTCTAATGCAGCTTAGGCAAGCACTCTTCCGATACTAGATACCGGTAGGTCAGCCTATCAAGGACCACTACCCAAGACTTGCAGTGCGCAATATTTCAATACACAAATTAAGCTATTTTTTATTTAATTATTAAGGAGGTTAAGTCCAGGGATTCTAGAAGAATAGGTATATAGTGATTTAGTCACGTGATATTTTCGAAGTGAGCGGCCAATCAGAACACAGCGGTCTGGGAAAACACCAGGGATTGAAAAACAAGGGTCAGGCCTACGGCCTGCCCCTGGAGACAGGTCAAGACAAGCGGAGCATTTCAGCCGACTAAGTACTAGAAATGCAGTCATATACTGTGTAATTTAAATAAATAATTAATTAGAACTTAATTATATAATATATAATTTAAGCAATCAACCGGAAAACAAAATCAAAAAAAAAAAAAAAAAAAAATCAAAAAAAAAAAAAAAAGAAAAAAGGAAAAGAAAAAGGAAAAGGAAAAGGAACATTTGCTTACGGCGGACGTACTCGAAGTTCCGGACAATGTAAAGGGATCTGAATAGATTAGTATAGAATACAGGGAAATCGTTATCTAGCGTCAGTTTTGAGTGGTCAATTGGAAGACAATATTCGGGGGAAAAAAACTGGGAAAAGTTGCTCGTACCCGACCTGAACAATAAAATAATTGCAGAGCTTTCACTTATAACCAAAACCTCTGCAGTATTGTTTAGTTTATTGATAATCTGTACTTTATACATGGAACAGTATAAATTGGCAAGGTGGCCGAGTGGTCTAAGGCGCACGGTTCAGGTGTACCTGACCATCACAGCTTCATCAGAAGTTTCCGTGTCATTAATTTGGCGTGGGTTCGAATCCCACCCTTGTCATATTTTTTCCTTTTATTTCTTCTTCCCGGCCAAGACTGGTTTCAGTTATGTCATCACACTGAATGTCAATTTCCGATATTCAGCGCGGGGTACTACCAACTCTGACTGCCTCAGGATTTAGTGCGAAGGGGTCTGGATCTTGAGAGACAGTCAGAGCTGCTATCATGTGACCCCGGAGTACGGAGCTTTATTCTATATTAATAATATTTATATATATAAACATTCTGCGAAGTTATTTAAAATATTAATCTACTTAGATATTATTTTATATGTATTTTTTAGAATGTTTTATATCTATATCATAGTTTAAATTTTTCTAAAAGATCATGTGTATAAAAGATCTGACTAAGTCAGGGTTTTAAAGATCATGTAAGTAGCCCTGAAAAAGTCAGAGCTGTCTGTCTCACCTGACCTGGAGTGGCTATTCTTAACTGTTTAGATTAAATACCAAGCGTTAGATAATGGTATTTAAAGCCCTAGAACTATATAATACACTGTTTTTTAATTGAAAATCAATAAAATATATAAAGTTCTAAGGCATAATTTAGGGCCAGCACTAAGTTACCGATCCATACAAGGTAATTACAAGATTATCAAATCCAGAGCTTTTTTTCTGGTATTTTTTAACCGTTGGGTATTATAAAGTAAGCTAATCGTATTAGGTAATATAGGGCGGTATATTCTATACCCTAAGCCCTAATTACAATTTCTATTTATAGGATATATCTCTATATATAATATTAGGCTTACAATACTTTAATCTAGTCGTGTATTTTTTAACCATTACAATTAACCTAGCCAAACGTCAGTCTACCCTGACCCATTCAGTGCTCAATGCCGCTCATTGCAGAGCTTTGCTCTGCATGTTATTTTATTGATGTCCAGATACTAGCGATTTTTACCATTTTTTCCTGACTTCGCGTTTCGATTAATTACTTAAAAGAGGCACTATATAACTATTCTTCTATATTGTCACAGAACTGATAACAATCATGCAAGGTGACTGTACAGTATACCCTGTCCCAGGTGTATAGATATCCCGGTGGCTGGACAGTTCCGTCAGTGTCTATATTAGTTACCTTTCTAATAATAAACAGTGGTCCCTTTCTAAGGATTGATAACTATCTATAGAGAATTTCAGAGGTCCTTGGCTATAAATTAGCACTGTAATCAGTAGTGGGAAATTCAAGAATCAGTCTTCTGTCGATAGACTATCTACTGTTGTTTTGCCTACATATTCTTACCTAGTTAACAGGTCTTCTACCCTGATTAGTAGATAACTCTGACATATATTCTATATTAAATTGTTAGGATTCCTGGACCCTAGCTTAAACTATTTAAATAAATTACATAAAATGTTAATTAAATTGATTAAGTCGCTTAAACTATACTTGGTCTATTTCAGCTTATTTAAATATTGGGCTCTGCATGTCTTAGGCAGTGGTCCGAAGAACCGCTGGCCTGGCCGTAATATCGTCGATCACACACTCCCACACTACCGGCTGGTACGGCGGCTACGACCTATGGAGAGAATAGTCGGGACTATTCGTTTAATTTAACTTATACGTGTGGCCTAGGGTAGTGTGATATTATAGACCCTTGTCTAGCGCATCTTATAGAAGGCGGATATATAAGGTAGAATAACAATAGAATAACGATGGCCGATTCCTGAGCGGAAGGCACCCAACGAATCGTTTATCCAGTAACTATTCGGGAAGGGCTATAGATATTGATAATAGCCCTATCACGTGATATCTACTTTAGTATCTATTCTAGAGGAAATATACTGGGGGTATACAGTACTACATACTACGATTAGATATACTTTATCTTCTATTTTTAAGAGAGTTACAATAGAAGTAGATATTTAAAGATATATAAGGATATTTATTTATATACTTAGTTTAGTTCTTTGTAATTAATTATAACTATTATTATAAAGTTACTTTAGTAGTATAACTAGTCTTAACTTGTTTATACTTTTTTAAACTATTGAGTATATGTATTTAATAGGCCTGGTTCTTTAGACTTGAGTCTAGTATTGACAGTAGTTTTGTGTCGACTGCATCCCTATAACGATGATAGTCTAGTATCGATAGTAGTCTTGTGTCGACTGTATCCCTGTAACGATGACAGTCTAGTATCGACGGCAATCTTGTGACCGACTCCCGTCTCACTAAGACCGCAACCCAACAGCGACGGAAGTCGAAGGACGACTTTAGGTTAGTAACCCTCGGAACGTGGTCCGCTAACTGGTCTCAGACTTGACGACGAAGCCCCGGGCGTAACATGTGACAGGTAGGGCGTGTCATTCCCCTGAATTATATACAATATAACTACCCAGTATATACACACACAGAGAGAGAGAGAGAGAGAGTACTTTGAAGTCATAAAAAGCACTAGCAATTTCAGATTGCTATGGATGTGCATAGATTGCATGTGATTCATCGTACATATATGACATGGTGACATGGTCTTTCTATATATATGTGAGTAGAAGTAGCGGTAAGCCAGAGACGGTAGAGAGTTGTCGCCTTGCTGACCTTCCGTAAAGACAGGACTCACAGGAGGTCGCGACATTTCTTATATACACGCGAGTAAGCATGGCTATGGCCCAGTAAGTAGATGGATTTATCTATCTTCAGTACCGGTGTAACCGGGATGCTAGACAAAAGCTACTTTGTGTCTAGCAATGGTGTAGCTATTAGACCCAAGTACAATCACATATGTGTAGCGGCGGTATATATACTATACAGGTGAGACCAGGGCATTCTGTATCGTTGATCCATAATGATATGACCTTTTAGCCCCGTGGAATGCAGTGTCCTGGTTGGATCTCTTACAATATGTCACATATATAAAACGGATAGTGATGTGGACAGATGATAACGACGTATGATACCTGTACCTGGTATAAAATATAGATACTTGTAAGATATAGAGCCAGGGCACCCTATTCTATAAGGTAAAGAAAAAGAGTTCAGCAATGCCTGGTTGCTTTTAACCGAATAGTATACCCTAGGTTGTAGACCGATGTATGCATGTAGAACCTATTTTAATATGGCTCCTTACTAGTTAGTTTAATCCCTTATCCCTGGATAGTATATATCTTTGATAAATACATAATAAAACACTATATAGTACTTACTGAATTGCGAACAGGTTGTTGCTGAGCGCGAAGCACTCTGCTATATTTTATTGTTGAGGCACTAGCAAATTTTCCTGTTTTTTTCCTGATCTCGCGTTCCGGTTAGTCACTGAAATCATACACTATATAACTAAGTTCTGATTAGTTATTTAAACCATACACTACGTGACTGTATTGCTATTGCTTGGTTGGATGAAGTGCTCTGCTTTTCTTAGAGGCAGGCCGCAGGGTTGGTCCTAGAAGAACGGGTGTCCAGACAAGGCCGTTCCCAACCTGGTCAAAAGGGGACTATAATCAAGCCTTATGTCTGATCTACCCGGATCACATGATTCATATCTTATA